GAGTCTCACCACTGCAAGGCTAAGTTAATTTGTTGTATTTATACTGGAGGTTTTTGGCTTCAATTAGATCACATTGCTCTTTGAGAACAAGTCTCTGCATCTGGTAGCATTTCTTTCAGATCTGGCATCAGCCAAGACTGAGCTTCAATTCATTTCCATCCAAATGAGATTATTTATTTCCTTTCCCCCAAGGATTAGGGAACACATCATCTCTTGAAAACAGAGTTGAATACAGTCAGCTGAGTCCAGAATTGTGACCAGGAAAGCTGATGGGACAAGAAAACTCCTTCAAGTAATATCATTAGAACTACTTTCAGGATCAACACAGAATAATTTGGTAATGTTGTAATTCATGTCTCTAGAAACTCTAGGCCACTTTTTTGCCATATGAATATGGTGGTAGTTTTCAAACAATTATTGATGAATCAAATTAAGATAAAACTAATTAAACTTTGAGTGACAAAAGACATACCTACTTCAGAAAGAAAGGACTTGCCCAAATCACTCAATCCATGGGGTAAAATGTTGAAGACTTTTGGACAAATGTAGTTATCCCACCACAAATTAAGATTTAGAACTCTTCTAGGTCTCCTCCCCTGCAATGAGATGTGTACATTTTGAGCTCTTGTCCCAGTACAGAGCAAGATGCAGAAGTCATCATGTTGTAAAACCAATTACACTGCAATGCGTATTCTGGTGCTAGGAAGCTGAGACACCATCTTGGCATATCTTACAGGTGCTCCTCGTTGCATCTCTTATAAACTTTTCATTCCAGAGCTAGTGGTTGTATATTTGCAGGCAAAAAGAAGATAACACTAGAACCTAATCAGAGCCACAAAAAGAGGAAATGCCATAGGCAATTCTGCCCTCTGGTGGTTGTTCCCCTGACATGCATACTTGAAATGTCTCCTAATTTTGACGGCTGGATTGACACCAAGCTTCTCATGCAGTCCGGTATCGCCTGAGTCACTCCCGCTGCACATGATGAGGCTGGTTTCCTCTGTTGCCCACTGGCTCTCCTTTTATTACGGAATTTTCATGACCAGCTTCATTCCGACTGCTCTCCTTTCTGCATGTTGGATGCAGTGTATGCCATGCTGCAGGTGCTCACCTGGCATGGTCCTGGCCCTCCCTGGGTGGGTGAAGAGAAAGGAAGTGCCCCAACAGGGCACTGCAAGGCAGGGCAGCACCTGAGAGATCCTTCAGGTGCTTTCCTTTCTGTCCCCCTCACCCCCAAAACCAGAGGTCTTCTCCCTCTGACTTGCAAATGCCCCTTCCCTTCCCTTCCCACTGGAAAATAAGTTTGTGGGTACTTCTCATGCCTCCCTGGTTGTCTTCTTTTTCCTCTTGCTTAAGAAACAATCAGCTGAAATGTATGTCTACTCAGAAGTCCATCACTTTCTCCTCAATGGCCTTAATTCTCCATTCCATCCCATTGACTCCAATGGAACTAAGTCATGGAACAGGAGCTCAACCTGTTTTTGGGTGAAGGGGGTGCAGGTTCACTACTGTGGAAGAGCAGGAAGCTGTAGCACCCTTTCCGCTCACATGTGTGTGTGTGTGTATTTGGGTGGGGCCTGGGACAGAAGGAACTGCCGATGTTTTCCTTTCTAAAAATGTAGCCACACTCTTTTGTCCCTATGCATCTGACCATATCTGACTAGGAGGAAAGGCAATTTCCACCATGATTTGGGAGGCAGGCAGGAGAAACGGTAACCACCTCTGCGATTTTCACTCCTTCACACCTGCACATATCCAAGTGAGCTAAAATCAAGGGAACCTTAAAAGGCTGTTTCCCTGCATGCATCTCCTTTCCAACTCCTCCCGAGTTCTCAAATCTTACCAAGCAAGCAGCAACTACTAACAGCACTGTGGGGTGTATTTGTGAGGCAGGATCTGGCATGAAACCCGTGTTTATCCTGCAACAAGGCTTGCCATGTGCACCAGGGATAAGGAATATGGCTAGAGCAGCACCTAGATGAGAGCTTAATGAAATGAGGTTAAGTGTGGATCCAGCAAAAGGACTGAGTGGAGAATATGCATTTTGAGAGCATTTCCAGCACGGTGTCGTGGGTAAGAGCACAGGACTGGGACTCAGGCGATTTGCGTTCGAGTTCCCACTGAGCCATGAAACACACTGGGTGACTTTGGACTTGTCACAGCCTCTCAGTCCAACCAACCTCACAAGGTTGCTGTTGTGAGAATACAATGTCAGCCACCTTGGGCTCCTCACTAGAGGGAAAAAGGCCACATATACATGCAAGATGGTGATGATCGAGATTGAATACGGCTAGAAAAGGCATCTTCCTCTTGTAGTGACTGTGAAAAGGATTGAACTCCGAATTTCAAGTTAGGCTCTGGAATGCCCTTCCCTGGGAGGTTACACAGGTGCCCTCCCTGTTATGTTTCCAGAGGCAGCCCGTAACTTTTCTGTTCCAGGAGGCCTTTGGAAACAACTCGGACCTGTGAGAATGGACAAGCTCCGTGGTCTACGTTGTTTTACTTACATTTTACTTTGGGTATTTTTAATAATTTTAATATCCTAGCTGATTTAATTATATTTCTAACTTATATATTTGTTGATTTTATAATTGCTTAGATTTTTAATGATGCAAGCTGGCCTTGAGTCCCACTAACTAGGAATGGGTGGGATACAAATAGCTGTAAGTCATGAAAGCGGCTTAAAAGTTAAGCACATAGAAATGGAAACTGGAATCACTGATCCTTTACAAAAATGTTAATGACCCAAACAGAATGAAGCTGATCTGCAGCTATAAAGCATTAAGCAGGGAGGAAAACTAAATTTTGCCAGAATCTAAGGCTTTTAAGTGGGCTGCAGGACATGCATGCTTAATCACTTGCTTTTAGCTGTTTAGGCATTTCATAAACAAAGCTAATTCTCATAATTAATCAGTCACCTGGGATGTGGGGGTGGACTAACTTGTAGCTTTGAATATAATTTATATACTATGCATCTTCAATCTGATGTTTCTCAGAGCAGCTCTCAGAAATGCAGTAAGAGCAACACTGCTGAACTCAGCCACACTGAGTAGTATCTTGCAAGCATGGATAATAGTCAAGAATGCTGGAAATTGTACTCCATACCATTAGGAGGGTCACTGGTTTCACCTGCTGCAGCAATTTTATCAGGGTTGGCATTTGGAGAAACTGCCCAGGAACGTAATTCCAAAGCTAAGACATCATCATTGCAGTATCTTGTCTCTGGTCAGTATTTTCCTCACCTCTGAAAGCAGCAGTCTCTGGAAAGGGGACCTTGATGATTGTATATAAAGGAGGGCTCATCTGGGAAAAGACGACCCAGGTACACATGGAACAACTGTCATCATGTAGCAGCCAAATTGGTAAGCCGCCAATTCAGACCAAACTGCAGCTGTGAGCTTAGCCAGAGTGCTTTCTCTGCTCTGTTTGCAATATGGAAATAGAATACCAGTCTATTTAACAGCACTCTTTTAAGGCAGCCTACTCCAATCTGGCACCTGCCAGACTTTTTACACTTCTGGCAGGCACCCAGTTAGGGAAGTCTGTTTTAAAGATTACTGAAATAGTATATATGAGAGTACTATGAACACTTGCAAGCCCTAAAACAGGAGCGAGGAATCTGTAGTCCAACAGCACAATTATACCTTCCACTGGTTGTGCTGGATGGGACTTCTGGGAGTCCAACAACAGTTGGGGGGCTACGGATTTTCCACCCCTGTGGTAATAAAAATAATAATAAGGGCTATAATTACAGTCCCCCTTCCAACTTTACTTCTGCAGCCCTGCATAAACCATTCCCAAACCATGGAGACCAAAAGTAAAAAAGGTTGTATTGTTCTTGTTATGTGCCACCCCATGAACAAACACCCTCAAGAATGTCCTGTACTTCACAGCACTGCTGACCTCTTCCTTTATGGAGTCAATCCATCTTTTATTTGGTCTTTTTCTTCTGCCTTCAATATTCCATAGCATGACTGTCTTCTTAAAAAAAAATCGCTATTGTGAAAATTTTGAATAACCTATTGAAAAAGTTAGATATGTTAAATATAAGATCATTATTCATAGTTTAAACACAGATGAATAGCCTGCAGTGTCTCATACCCAGTCTAGTGTCACTCCAAGTAGAGAAAATATTAAAAAAAGGAAGAGAGAGTTGCTTACTGGCACTTTCCACTCTGCTGTTCTAGGCTGCTCCAGAGTCCTGTTCCCATGACAACAACTGAAGCACCAGGACTGGAGAAGATGAATGGGGCTGCCGAATATGTAAGATCTAATATTTGTCCTTGAGTGTCTAATCTTTTCGCACCTTCACTGGAGCTAAAGCCAGGAAATTTCCTGATATATTCTGGTCTGTTTGTTATTACTCAAAATACCAGCTCTTCAGCCTGTTGTCTGCTAGCAAAACTTTATTTCATATGCTAACTCAATTCTGCACATGCATAAATAGCAGTGAATCAGTCTCTTAGCCAGCAAGGTACATATGGAAATGTATACCAGTAGAAAGAGAGACCCTCAATGTTTCTGCAGACGAAGCTTAAGACCTTGGCTTAGATCCTGAGTTCTGCCTCCTGTGTGAAGGAGAACAACACAATTTTGCTGATTACTACTCCCTTATCACCCACTGTAACAAAAATTCTGTTCCAGAGGTCACTGCACTCTTCAGAGGGACTGTTGAAAACCTGAGGAGGAAATTGGTCAATGTTTCAGTTCCCCTTCCACCATCAGGAGCTAGATTGTAGTCCTTCTTGTTCTCAGAAAAGCAATTCAGGATAAATCCTTTCTCTAGGGTTTAGATGATTCTTCCATTTTGGTCAACCAAAAGGATGCCCTTCTTAATTTGATTTTTAAAAAATCAACTGCCTTTAATACTTTCATAGACTACCAGTGACAGATGCCACAAGGGAAAAAGGCAACCCCTCTAAAACAGGAGGGAATGCCTTTCCACGGGACGGCACCTGTTGAGAAAAATATATATTATCTAAGCAAAGAAAAAGTCTCCATTTCTTCAGAACAATTGCTTTTTATTCATCTGCAAATGAGTACAGAATTTAAAAGTGAACACCACGCATGATCAATCAACCCATTTATTTAAATCTGGTGGCAACCTTACTCACCTCTCCATTCTAGGTTTAATTAAGGCATCACAATATCATGATTTCGGAGAATGAGATACTGTGCAGGCTGGCTCCATGGATGTAAAGGATGTTTTCATTCACTTAGCTTGAGAAAAAAATAAAATAAAATCTGGGATTTTCTTGTCAGAGTATACATAGCTCAACAGATTAAGACAGATTTGGGCAGGGAGTATGTAATTTCAACTCATTTCTCTTTTAGAAAATATTGCTAAAGGAACTGATAAAATTGTCACTCCTGAATCCATTCTGAGACAAGAACATGCTTTCTGTAATTGAAAAGCACTGTCCTACCTGTGAAATTAAAGGCTATCTATCAGATTCAGAAAAAAACCCAGAGGCCCAAGGAGAATGTTCTGAGTTATTACCTCAAATTAGCAAGGGAGGTAACAAGTGAAGTAACAGAAGGTTTTTTCTAGCTCCAGAAATATATGACTGGTCTTTGTACAGGACCCAGTTCTAATGTCTGTAGGGCTACCTTATGATCCTCAATTATAAAAAACAAAAAATGACAATATCTGTTTTAGAGACTACAGGCAACATGTTTTCCCCCAGCTATATGACAGTCTGTTGGTAAAATTACTGTACCAAGAAACACACACAGATTACCAGCAATGTTGCATTACAGTCAATACCCTTTTATGGAAGGCAGTCTGAACCCAACTAATTTTCCAAGGGCAGCTCATACTGGCGGTTTTAAATGTTATGTTAGGTCATAAAAGACCCTAAGAGATTTCCAAAGACGTGCTTCTCACACATTTTCTCTTCCTACTCTATGCCTTTCAGCAGTTAGAATCCAGGAGGTAGGAAGCAATCTCTTTGGCTCATGCTGGGAAAGTTTCGCATAGATTGATGGTACACAATTTTTAAAAAAGATTTTGGTTGAGAGCTGAATGAACCCATCAATAGGAGTCTCTCTTAGCTCACCCCTCTCATTCTCTTTCCTTCCTGAAAGGACAAGCAGTACCCAGAATCTTCCTAAATATTACGTTCCGTGAGCTGTGTGCAAATTTGAAGCGCCATGTGACAAATGTGAGCACCTATTATTCCTCATTTCTTTTACCATTCTGAAAGAAACAGGACCGTGTAAGTGCTTTCATATGGCCATGGCGGCTGACTTGGTAAAGTATTCTTCTCCCCATCAAATGTCCATGCTACCTTCTTTTCTCAGGATCATTTTCATAGAAAGCAGCAATTCTGGCACCAAGAGAAGGTCAGCTGCAGTATCTGTTGTCTCTGTTGAAGGCTGCAGCATCTCTTAAGCAGTAGGTAAGAGTGGATCCTTTTGAGGCTTTAGGTCGTCCCCAACTCTGTTCAGCTCAAGCTCACCAATTACAGACATGTACTTAAACTCATCTGGCTGGTGGTTAAATGTTTCCACTAAACGGAACGTCTCCTGGCGCTCTGTGGCATAAAAAAGCTGCACCTGGCTGGCTAGGCACTGTGCTTCTGCTACATTCTGTGAAATTTAAAAAAAAAAAGGAAAAAACGCATACAGTGAAAGTTGTCAGAAGAGTTACAGGCTTTCCGCAGTTCTAATACAGCCTATTTCCCTTGAATGTCCAAAATCCAAGCCTGGGGAAATGCCACAGATCTGCTTCAGGGCTCTCCTGTTTGTGGTGGCCAGATTACTGATGCAGTAGCATGAAAAGCAAAGGCTCCACTGCAACACTGGTCATAAAAATCAAATACACACTGTTGTGATAGAGCTTTCCCCAGCCTGGCTGGGCTGGTGATGCAGTTATCCTCCAACGCATCTTATGTGCACCAGTTGGGGGAAGCTGTGCTAACACTTTACAGTGCAAGAGGAAAATTTCATGATCCATGTTTCATCTTAAAACAACACAAGCACTTCACTGCATGCAGCAAACTAAGTTGGCCATGCGGAGGGCCCTCTTCCAGCCTTAAGCCAATCCACCCACTGCCAGTGTGTTTGCTTTTTAACAGCTGGCAGTGGAGGCAAGTCTCAACTGTGTGCTCCTCACCAAGGCAGGGGAGGCACAGAGAATGTCTGTCTGTCGGCAGTAGATGGCCCTTGCGCGAGGAGCAGCTGAGAAAAACTGTGGATGCTACCGCACAGATGGGGTGGGTGGAAAGAGAAAGGTGATAGGAAAGTTGAGTAGAAGCATATATTTTTGTGAGAAAGCGCTCTCTTTCTCTCTCTCTCTTTCTCTCTCAGGAAAGAGTGAAGCAGAGGAATGGCTAGGAGAACAGGAGAAATAGGTGGTAAGCCACTTAGTGGTAGAAGTGAAGGATTCCCAATCTCAGAAATGTATGGTTGAAAAGAGACTGAGGGTCTGGGTGGGTGACCCCCCCATATACCCAGGAACCAGAAGGGTCCTGCTCATTAAGTTTTTCCTGATCTAGGCCTTGTGCAGGCGCAGAGGCCCATATGTGCAATACACAGAGACCATGAAGAAGAACTAGAAAGTCAGGCTCAAACTTCTTCTCCTCTAAGCTGTAGACACAACACTTTGGAATGGAATTCTTACCATATACTGCAGATAGGTAGTTACAATAAGAGAGGAAAGGGGCATGAACATGTTCACGACAACATTTTAAAGACATGTATTTAGCACTGAATCTTGGTCTGGTTTGCATGCCCCAGCAACCCAGAGTTCTTACATCCTGAATTGCTGTGAACAAGTACGCATACTGGTGCATGCTGTCCAATCATTCCTGCTACATTAGTTATTTCCTCTGGCTTTCTAGGTAAAGACAAGCCAGAGTTCCTGGTTCACACATGAGAAAAAACAATCCGGGATAGAGGGCTGATAATTAGCTTAGCCATTCCTTCTTATAACATCTAACATCCCCAAAACAGTGACAGGAACTACTCTATCAGTACCACTTGTGACAAAAAGAAAGGAAGTCCCATTTCTCATTAAACGTCCCTTACCAAAAATTTAGAATCCATTTCTGCAGTCATCAGGACAATTCCCTTTTCTTCTCGAAGCTCAGGATAATGGTACAAGATCAACTGGCTGGGAGCAGCTTCAGCTAGAGTCTGCAGCAAGCAGGAATGACCATTATTAATCAGTACACACAGCACAGCCCCTCAGGGAAGATCGAAAGCTGGAATTTTAAATTAACAAGCCAAGCCAAGCCAATCAAGGGTTTAGTCAGCACACGGACAGAAAGAGGTACCTACAAAATACAAGAAATAAAAGCACAAATAACCCTCCCAAGTGGAACTTTGTAACATCTGTATGAAAAAGAGTTTTGTATGATGTTGTTTTATGTGCTGTCAAATTGTTTCCAACTTATGACAGCCCTCTGAGTGAAGGCCCTCCAAAGTAACCTGTGCTTCACAGTCCTGCTCAGCTCCTATAAACTCAAAACTGTGGCTTTCTTTATGGAATTGATCCATCTCATAATTGGTCTTCCTCTTCTTTGTCTTCCTTTGACTTTCCCTTTGTTCTCATCTACAGTTCGTCTTGCCTGCTCATGATGTGGTCAAAGTACAACAGTTCTGGTTTCATCATTTTTGCTTCTAGGGAAAGCCTTGACATGATTTGATCTAGCACCCACTTATTCATCTTTCTGTTAGTTCAGGGAATTCACAATGGTCTCCTGAAGCACCATGTTCTGAAGGCATCACTATTCCCCCTGTCAACTTTCTTCTCTGTCCTGTTTTCACACACATACACAGCAGTCAGGAATACAATAATCTGGATGATCCTGGCCTTGGTCTTCATTGAAATGTCCTTTTACACTTGATGAACTTTTCTAGTTCCACTGCTGCCCTTTCAAGTCTGTCTTCTAAGCTCTTGGCTGCAGTCTCGCCTTGAATTGATGACCTCACCAAGTCATGCAAAACCTTGCACAATTTCAATTTCTAAATTTTGACATTAAAGTTCTGTAATACTTCTGTAGTCATCATTTTTGTTTTCTTAACATTCAGCTTCAGTCTTGCTTTTGCATATCCTCCTTTTACTTTCATCAGGAGTGGTTACAATTCATTTCTCTTTCTGCCAGTAATTTGATATCACCAGCCTATCCGCATGCCTATGGTATAAATATTGCATTTAAAGTTTTCAGTCTTTGTTGAGCACCCAGAGAGCTTTGGCTATTGCATTTAGCAATATAATACATGATGCAACACATCTGCAACAAAATTATGCAACACAGAATGCTCCCTGTTCAGGATCTTGGGCATTCTATTCCATCCCATCGCTCCTCAACCCTTGCTTTCCATTTCTCCCTCCCAAAATAAGTCCACCAGCGCTTGGGGGCACTAAGCATGCTCAGTCATCACTGGACAATTCAGGGGCTTTCCTCCCCATCTTCCAAAGATGCTGTATAGTTCTATAAATCTCCAGTCTCCCCACAGTGACATCTTGCGTATAAGCAATGCCACTCAGAGAACTGTCTTTTTAATATTATGCCAACTCTTAACAAAGTTATCTATTTTGTTAAATCTAAAACAGAAGGCCATATAGTTAAAAGCAACATAAAATGCAACAGCATGTGCCTCTCTTGAAACAAAATTGATAGAAGACTGAGGAAGGCAGCTACTTTCAAGTCCCACAGCATAAATGATTCTGCATTATCAGCTTTCACACAAAACCATTAATTGTCCTGTTTTATAGAATGGTTTAAAGCACCAACCTAGGAACACCCCTAGCAGTTCTTCCCAAACTCAACCCTAGACAAATTTTCTGAAAGGTCGCCTACCTGAATATTTATCAGAGAAGTGAAATGGAGTTCTGTTTCTGACCAATGCCCCACAAAAAACTCATACCCTTCCTTCCTTGGCAATGCATACAGAAACTGGGGAGAGGGGGAAATCCAATAGGTTTAGTTAGTTTCAGTTTACAATAAAACAAAAACACAAGCCCAGAGATAACAAATTTGCAGCCACAAGGGCCGAGCAACATGGGAATGATCAGTTTTGTGCCTTTCACAAAGCATTTCTCAGTCCCAGTTTTGAGACCAGTTTTGACCATGGCCTACACTATAAAGGTACTGCCATTAGGACAAGAAAAACACAACATTCTAACTCCAGGTTTTTATAAGCAGTAGTTTTTACATCAGACTGCACACTGTAGGATGTCCAATGGTCATTTATGGGCCAGCGATTTTACTGAATGTATTCAGAGATTCATAGCATGCATACTTATTCCAAGGAGTTCAGGAGGATGAACATAGTGATGCCCAGACAATCAGTCCTATGAGGTAGGTTAGACTGAAACATGCACTGAACACATGTAACACAACAGCACATCATGGGTAACTGGTTATGACAGGTTTTTGTGTCTTCTGAAGTTAGGTTGCTTCCCACAGGGTGGCTTATTTTTCATCAACAAGCCATCCTGATAACCCATAGCTTGTTCTAGTTCTTGCTTGATCCACAAAAGGTTGCTGTGCTCTCAGAATCAAAAGAGCAATTTGATTGTGGGATGTGGGGAGCCCTAGTGAACCAATTGGTAAAAGTGGCAACAACCTCTCTTTGCAATTTTGCCCTTGCTGCCTCCAGTGACAGCTTCAACTTGTTATTTTTCATGTATATTACATAATCCAGCCATTCTGTTCACAGCTGAAACATACAAGGAAATTGACCCAGCAAGACTATGCATATCAGATAATTCTAGAAGCAAAAGAATGACCCAAAAAATTACAAATACAATTACACAATTTTCTGAAGCTGAAAAAAAAATACAACCCCAATTGCACATTTTGAAGCTCTTAAACAAAGCATCAATTAACTAAAAGGAACGGTTTTATACATATTTTACCCAAACACATTTTGCACAGTAAGCAATCAAAAGTCAATTTTCTGCAACCAGAAGAGTACAAGAACCAAAACAGATGCAACAAGACAGATACACCATACTTACTGATGGGCACTTCTGTACCCGCTTCCAGATCACATCAAAAGTCTTTCCCTTTAGAAGAAACAGAGGAGGGGGGAAACTATTAATTGAAATTTACTTTTAGATTGCCTTTAAGGAAAGAACCCATAAAGCTTGATTAGCTCTCACCACTGGGAAATAAAGGCTAAAGTCTTGGAATTTGCCTTACCAATAATTTGTGGTGGATTCCAAAAATCATATTCTATCAAAATGGTTGAACTCTAAAAATCAAATATAAAAATGGAACAGAAAATAAGCCACTTCCTCTACTAGCATTAATACTAGAACAGAACCAGTAACAACTACCCTGGATCCAGACTTGGTCATACTTCACGTAGACCCACAAAAATCAACGAGACTTTAAGATTTGTTTTTATTTTGGTATGCCTATGAAAGCAAATAAGATTGACTTTGAGCAGGAAAAAAATAGCAAAAATGGAATACTGCAGATCCACATCCTCCTGAGAAAGCAACATTTTTGTAAGATTCAGTATGTATCCATTAGAAGGCTTTAAGTGTCCATGTATGAGTAAATAAGTGCTACTCTGCTACCTACCCCACAGGTAGGACTATCTCTTTCTAAACTGCATAAATGCAACACTCACCTGTTCAGGGAATATAAGTGAAAGAGAATGTAAGAGAACACACACACCCATACATCCAGAATATATGTCTGTATATGTAAATATACAATGGGAGTCTGTACATGTTGTGCATCTCTGCACAATCCAGTTTCCCTTGGTAGAGATGCACAACATGTGAAGTCCTTGCATATGGCGACAGCATTAGTTCTTTGAGAGATCTCATCCAGAAATAAGTGTATGCATGTGGTCCATTGTAGTAAATGGCAAAGCACTGGCACTCCTAATAACTAGTAGGGCTTATGTTTTGCCTTGAATTTAATACCAAGAGGGGGAAAAGAACTTGGCATCTGATCAAATGACATTGCATCATGAGCTACACCTGTTTCTTCTCTATTTAGTTCACTCATATTATTAGTTTAATTGAAACAACTAAGAACAAGAGGAAAGTTGTTTAGCAGACTTTTCTGCTTCCATCGCAACAGTTCTCATATTACTGTACATGAATCATTCTCACACATACAGAACCTTAAAGGATCGCCCCTTCCTTTTTGCTATAGTCTGTCCTTCTTGTGTCCTAATTGTACTTACAGGAATAACTGCATAAACTGTGTCTTCACCAGAAAAATATTGCTTCCATATCTGGAAGAAAGAAACAACTACACTAACTTCATAGGCAATCATTGAAAAGTAAAGTAACTTCAAATAAAGGTAACCATCATTCATTCACAATATGACGTGATTGGTAACCACTAAATTATTATTCAAGCAGGGAAACTTGATTTGGTCTTCACTGATATATCCTGCAGCCTATATCCACATACCAGCCACTTTGAAGGACCAAGAGTCACATGATTAATTTGACTTACCCTTCAGAAGTGCTTTCAACTAAAACTAAATATTATTATTGCAATATTACATTGAGGGCCTGCCTTCTTCCTCTTTCCCACCCAAGGCAGCTTACATTGCTCCATTGAGGTAGGTTAGGTTGAGCATGAGTGACTAGCCCCAAGTCACCCAGCAGGCTTCAAGACCAACTGGAGACTACAACCCAGATCTCGTAGGTCCCCAGTCCAACACTCCAACCACCACCTCCAGGGCGCTCCCATCGTTACAATAAAGTGAATGAACAAGCATAACACGCACCAAAGCAAAGTAAAATTGTGCAAAGTGATGCTTTTAAAGACCTAGGAGAATTTTTTTAAAAAAAAATCATGTGCCAAAAAGACCTCAAGGTGGAAACTGGGTGAACTACTCTGAGGGGAGTGTTCTACAGGTTGAATACCACTGCTGAGAAGATCTCTCCCCAGTCACCCACCACCTGACTTCAGAAGGCAGGGGAATCCAAATGATGGACTCAAATCAAAGGGAGAAGCATGCATGGAAAGAGACTTCCAGCAATTATTGCACCATCTATGAAAATAATTATGAGTTGATTGTCATGTGTGAAGCACAATGCAGGTGTTTCTTTCAGACAATTAGACAGATTCAGCAACGCGCAGAGCACTCGCCTGGTTCATGGAGCTGCAGTACAGAATGACACTTGACACATGACAGTAAACATCTATTTTTATTTATGACAGGCATCTCCATATAAGAAACAACAACTCAAGACATGGCCCTGTAGCTCTGGCCATGGAAGCTTTCATAAGTGTTATATGTACCGAACAAGAGGTTCTGTCCAGTGAAATATCTACAAAAAACTATACCAAAATTCTTTCAGTTTGTTTTCACCTGTTTTATTTCTTCAGGCTTCTTCTGTTTCATCATCTCAACATTAAGTATTGAATCAAGTGTCTGAAACAAATTGCAAACAATAAAGCTTGCATGCAACTATAAAAGAAATTAATATTTTAATTCTGGTATGTATGAACAATACATGAACAGACTTAAACAGGAAACCACATACGATTAACTAATCTCCAGTAATAAAATAGAAGTACAACAGACAGCAAGATTTCTGATAAGACCAATGAGTGGGGAGGGGAAACTGAGTACAAGACCCGGGAAGCTTATTTTAGGTGATCTGGGCCTGGGCTCCTCATCCCATTACGCATGGGCACTTCCAAGGGTAACCATGAAGCCATTCCCAATGTGCTGCCTGCAAACTCATCCAAAACTTTAAAAAACTCTTTAAAAATATAAATATATGGGTTTGGATATATTCATAGCAATTAATACATCTCAAATGGATTTAGTTTACAGGCAATTATGCATGCTTCAACAGAAGAAGACCAAGAATCCAGATAAGTGCATTAGAAAATGGTAGCTATATGCCACCAATTCCAGTTTAAACATGTTTAAACTCTGCAATGCATTGTATCATAAAAAATTTAGTGCTACCATTCCAATGTTGTATTAAAAATATTTTAGCTGTCAAAAAGGTATAGAAATTCACTTATATTAACCAGTTGTCCACTTCCATGAAAAAGATAAAAAAATAAACAAGTGTGAACATCAGTGAATATTAAGACTGTTCTTGTACAACCTTTATCTGTGTAATAACATCCCCCAACAAAGAAAGGAAAGTGTATGTTCAAAAGAAGCACTAGCTGTACCACATCACTGGCAATTAGCTGAATTAGACAATTCCTTATTAAACAGATGTTGCTACATCCAATACACATGCTGGGGTTGCTGATGAGTAAGACACAGCCTAAAACACAAGATGTGACAGGTGGCTGCCCAAGTAATCATCCACTGATTAGACATTTTGTGGTACTGCTCACAGCAGCTTCTCAAATACCCAAATATGCCCATGGGTACAAAATTTTGGGAACCCTGGTCTAGGCTGCGCCAGTTCTTCACATGACTTTCTGCAGTGGGTCCAATGAAAACAATGATTCTCTAGCTGCATCATAAAAGATGTTTTTCTGAATTCTATATAGATATCAGTGGTCCTAGTTACACACAATGGTAAAGTTTAATTTAAGCCAAGATGCACCGGGTTTCAATATTTTTATTGTATAATTTTGTTCTTGTTGTGAGCCGCCCCGAGGCTTTGTTGCAATGGGGGCGGCATAAAAATGTTTTAAATAAATAAATAAATAAATAAATAAAGTTTGGTGCCAAATCATGGGTTAATTAATTAACCCATAATTTGCAGGGATACACTGTGTGCAAGTCATTTCCAATTAACCAAATAACAAGTTATGGGTTGTTTAACTCACAAACAACCCAAAGTGTCCAGGTTTGGACATCACATGAATAACCTTACACACACTGCTGTTTGCAAGGGGAAGTGGTGGGTGTGGAGGAGTTAACTGCACACTCTGCACTCATGCACAACAGGTTGTGCTGTTGTTATATGACAACCAGGTCACCGTCTAAAAACACTGAAATTCAGGTCCCATGGATTCAGTGTCAACAGTCTGTTAATTGGACCATACTGGATCCCATAGGATCTTATACAACAAGTATGTTAAAGATTATTAAGGTAAAAACAAAATAGATGTTTAATAAAAATTCCATCTTACCTTATTTTTTGTGAATGCATGTTTTTGTCCTTTGGCCTAAAATGGAACAGTAAAAGTTTCATTTAAAAACAGATTAGTAACAAAACTGTTACACTATTTTCCTGTGTTTGAAAGAACAAATCAACAAGACACAAAAATACATACATAGTTAAAAACAATTTGTAGACTGAGGGATTATGTAAAACAATACAAGTTGCCAAAATTTGTGCCATCAGCAGCACTTAGCGCAGATGCTGGTTCTTTATCATCAGAGAGCAAAGGTGGGTTTTTTATTTGTAATGTACTGGCCGATATTTATATTATTAGAAAATACTTCTATTTTGTTATATTCAGTGCATGAAGATTGTGATAGTACTAAATGGAAGAATCCTCTGGAAAACAAATGTTGTACTTGTGATATTCCTTATATTTCTCCCCCTTTATCTACAAGAAGGCAAAATTAATCTTATTCTACTGGATCACAGATATTGATTTATCAGATCTCTATAGCATCTGCCATAAATATTTGTTCTCCTTTATATTTGGGAGTTGTTATGGTGCCACAGTGAGGCTGTGTTAACTTCTTGAGGTCATTATTTGTCCCAAAATAAAGGAAAGCATTTACACTCATTTGCTTCAGAATACTGCCCTCGACTAACTGGAAGAAATATAAATGGCATTCCATATGCAAATTGTGCATGCCAGTCTGGCAATGAGTTAGCAACTGTTACAAGGGTTACGATTGCAAAATGTTTTAACAATGAAAAAAGTGATTTGTCCTTTGACTGCTCTCTTCCCAAGAAGGCCTTCTTTATGGATACAAAATCTTATATAACTGAATTAGTTGCAAACTTGTATTCCAAACTACTAGAAACACAGAAACAAAACAAGTCAGAAGGGGCATCCTGAGCCATCCTTGTATGTATGTATCCTGGAACCCTTGGCTCCAGCTGGCTCCACTCATGTAATTCCCAACATGTGCTTGTCCAGTCTTTCCTTGAACATCCTCAGTGATGGGGCCTCATCCACCTCCCTTGGAAGCCCATTCCATATCCAAGGGGTCCTAACTGTCAGGAAGTACTTCCTGGCATCCAACCTGAAGCCTGGTTCCTTGACCTTTGCCCCATTGGAATGTGTCCTGCCCTCCACTTCAGGGAAGAACAGTTCATTAATCTGTAATAGGTTACTAATCTATAAGCAACTTCTGCAGAAGTGCTAATGGTACTATTTAAGTCTGTCTTAAATTTGAATACATTTTAATAATGAAAGTGCTTGATTAGACGGTATCTTTGCACTTCTTTGTATTTCTACCTTTCTTTTAATAAAGAATAAAATATTTGTTTTGGAAAAGTTTATGGACTGTGGGGAAATGTGGCATCCCTTTTAAACATAATGGTTTTGCTCATGGGCTGGTGAAATTCCCCCTTGCCGTAAGATAATTTTATTTATAGCTAGTCAGGCAAAACAATATGCAGGCAATAAAAATGACCAATGGCTGTGGCACATTTACTTGTGTTTGGCCTCTGAATAGAAAAATATCCCCTGGCTAGTCTTCACAAAGTAGGGACAAATATTCAACGTCTACAAGAATGCTGAGAGAGACACAGAAGACAGAAAGGGGAGAGAAACACCCAAAATGGGTTTGCATAACATGGCAAACTGTCATGGGTAGGTAGCCATGCTTGGCTGCCATATCATCCAAATTCAGACTGTTTCTTGCAAGGGGCTTATTATTGCCCCCAATAAGCCACCCTAACGATCCATGGTGTATTCTAGGGCTCCTTAAGCCCACAATAGGCTCTTACATTATCTGAACCAGGCACAGTAATCCCACTGTAGGTTGTGGAAAGTGGTGAAGGAGCCACCTGACAAGAGAGGCAAAGCACCCAGACTCCTCTTGGCAATTTCACCTGCGCCATCACCCATGACAGCAGTTCCACCAATGCCTAATCAGCATGCTGGCGCAAGTATCACTGGAGAATTATGAAGAACACAAAGTTATGATGATGGCTGTAAGGCCCAAGCTTAAGCTTAAGGTTGTCCAATGTGGATTAGGAGGGCCTGTAGAGGCAATTTTTGCCTCCCATCCTCCTGCCCTGCAGATTTCATTAGATGGGCTTCCCCAGTCTCCTTGTCTCTTCATTCACCAGAATGGCCCATCTCCTCTTCTGAGGTAAGTTTTCTAACCACAGAGGGCAGCTAGGACTGTTTTTTCTGCATCAGCTATGAGGGCGTGGAGGAGAAGAGTCACATTTCCACTCCTGTTTCCAAAGTCAGAGTGCTATCTTTGAAAGGAGGAATTTGAATATGGTCCATGTCACACTTGTCCAAGGATGAAAGGATTGCTCTCTCTCTCTCTCCATCAGCTAGATTAGAAAGCTTTTAATCAATTAAATGACATCTAAATTAATTCAACAGTTTTTTAATTGTTAATGACTGAAACAGAAACATTTAAAAAAAGCTACAGTGCCTGCTTTTGTATATCATCTGAAAACAAAAAAGTTTATTTTTTTCTTTCAGAAAATGCAATGCATATAGTTTCATCCATATGCATTATTCCAATGCAATGCATATAATTTCATTCATATGCACAGACTGACATGCAAGACAGAAAGAAGCTGTCAACCTGTACAAATTATATTTATGCAAGAACTGTGTCTGTTCAAAATCCTAATGGGCAAAATAGCTTTGAAACATCTCTGAAGTTCCTGAATCTTAGCTTGGTAATTGGTCTATACTGTGAAATAAGATTGCCTTTTGGAAACTACTGTTTTAAACAAACTGGAACACAAGGTCCAGTAGTCGGAAACACTTCTGTTAAATGCAAAACAATTCATTCACAAGAACCAATAAACAACTGCACCACCTTTTCATAGGTAAATAACCTCACAAAGACACACATAAAAGCAATCAAGATATTTTCTAGACAGCTTTTCCTAACCCAGATTTCTAATAGTTAATAGACCATAAGGTATTGACCTTACCTTTTCCTCCATGCTTTTAACAAACTCTGCTTGCTTTGAATGTCCCACTGGCTGCTTTTTCACATCATTCCGTTGCTCCATTCGGGCTTTAAAAATCTCTGGATTGGATCTGAATCAACATTAGCACAGTTAATAGCTACTAAACAACAGTGCAATTTATTCCTGCTCTATCTCAAAAACCCATGACTGACTGGCTGTAATATGCTCTTACCATAAGCTAACTTTACAATTTATCCTCTGAAACGGTTTAGGAAGATAAATTTAGTATTACCTAAGTAAGCACAAAACTCAACGATTAACAGTAGAAGTCTTGCAAGAGCAAAACAAACACTTTTTCTTAATTATGGTAGCACTCAAAACAGTAAACAGTATCATGCAAATAAGGTTTGAGCTGCAGATTAAGAGACACCTGTGGAGGTACGAGAAAACCTCTAAAATGTGCGCAGGAGCCCAGTCAGATGCATATTTGATCAGGCGCAAATCGCACTAGAAAGTAGTCTTTGAAAAGGCGCACAGAACTGCAGGCTTCGCCCCCTAAGAGGGCAAAAGGAGAACTTACTCCTCCTATACGAGGCAGCGGGCGAACATTTCTAACCGTATCCCTGTGTGTTCCTCCCGGAGAGGACGTAACTCAAGGAGGCCGGCAATGCCCCCCCCCCCCCCCCGCCGCCGCCCCCTTCCTGCAGGCAGTCCCTCCCTCCCCGTTACCTGCGAAGTCCCTCGATCTTGCTCTGGTACTTCTCGAAGAAGGGATTCCCCTCCAGGCCACTCTCGCCCCCAGCCCCGCGCGTCGCCAGCAGCAGCGGGCGCGGCGGCAGCAGGAGGCCGAGCGGCCGCAGAGCGGCGAAGCGCCCCGCCAGCGCTCCCCGGGACAGACCGAGCCCCGCCGCTCCCCACAGCTGCTGCACGTACCCCGCGGCCATCCTGTCCCTCTCTGCCCACATCGGCCGAGAGCAGCGCGTAACACCTCCCGCCTCCTTCGCGCAGCCCAGCACAAAGGTTCCGGCCCCAAGTAAACGGAGCTGGGTGGGGATTGAGGCGGTGGCAACCGAAATTCCCCGGGCGCTGTGTAATCATCGGGGGCCAAGGGAAGGGGGCGCAACGGACACCCGGGAAGCTCGGTAATTTCAGAAGGTGCATGAAACATGCAGCCCGCTCCTTTGCGAGTTTAAATGGAACGAAGGTCCAAGGAATATTAGCGAGCATCCCAACTGAGACTGCAATGAGGCTAAGCACAGTTACCTGGACGTAATCTCATTTAACACAGCGGAACTTACTTCTGCGTGGACTTCATAGAATAATGGAATTGCGCTATTGCTTCTAAGTAAAAATGCATAGATAGGCACCATGCAAATGAATGCTTAAGGACTGCATATAGCTCTTAAAGGAAGTGACACATCCCATTAAGATTGGTATCTGCTTTGGGAGAAGCTCTGTCTAAGGAGCTGGACTAAAATACTTAAACCAAGATTGCAGTACAGGATAAATCCTTCAAATCTAGGAAAATGATAGCAGGCATAGAAAGCATACTCCTCAGGCCCTTGACAACCCTAAGCGTGTAGGCTTATTGAACATTTGCCCTATGCAAGAAAAACATCTGCACTGGGCTACAGTTTGTCCGGCTTCCGATTTTTCTGTATGTCTGTGTTTCAACTGCCACCTGCACTGGGATTTAAAAAAAACAAAACAAAACTCTTTCTTCCTTGCATTGACAAACAGGAATACATCTGAATACCTACAGAACATCATCAGATATGTAGAAACTACTATAGTGGTTCTGGAGACCACTATAGTATGAATGTTATTGAAAGGAATGATGAAAAGCTCCAACCCATTGACAAATAGATTATTGAAAGAGAGAAGAACAAAGTCAGAATGCAGCTTTTCAACGGAACATGAGATAGAAAATTGATTTTTTCAGATGCTCAAGAATGGCAGCAATCCTTAGGGAAATTTCCACCCTTGGTTGTTTGCTGGCTGAAAAGCCTTCTCTCTTATTAACCTGATTACCCATTCTTGTACATAAGGGATTTCAGTCACATGCCAAGAACACTCATTTGAGTGGAAAGTGTGTGTTCTTGAGCCTTCAGGAATGGTATCCTAGCTGCCATTATCTCACTGTTAGCTTTAGAATGTTTATCTCATTCCCATTCTGTTTCAATGACACTAGCTTCAACTATCTTCTGCTTTAGTTAGTTTTCCTTCCCTCCTTAGAACAGCAAAGAGGCCAAGACAGATTTGACACATTCCAAAAGGTTTCTGTATGTAAATAATGATTATATCAAGTGGTAAGTAGCATAGTCACCATTCTTAACTATTAGCAAATATTTATGACTTGAAAGGTTTATTTGGCTCTTACAACAAGTCAATGTGTGAATGACATGGTTGAGGGAATAGCAATGTACATGGGCTACACATTCATCTGGGAGTAATAATTTTGAAAATTACTGAAAATAGTGACAGCATGGCCTGCAAACAGAAACATCTGGGGAGAAACATCTTTTAGCAGGGCCTTTTTTTAGCATTTGTGCAGAATACCCACCCAACTGGATTTAATACCAACAACACAATATCTCTTACCTCCTGCCATGTGAATGGACAGCTTTCTGCCATCTGGTCTGTATTTTCTTAGTGTAAATAGAGATTTCATTCAACATACCCATACAGCTTCCAAATTATGTGTGGAATTCTATTATCTTTAGAAATTCCCAAAATATTTAAGGCTTATGTTGCTATTGACTAATAGATAATATCCAATGGGTACCTATACTTTGTGTCATCCTCTAGCATCAGTTTGCATGAGAAAGTCCTAAGTTTAAATTGCTGCCTGCTGGCCTTAGTGAGTTACTCTCTCTGAGCCTGCCTAATGAACAGGATTGTTAAATAAAATCTTGGATATTTATATATTTGCAATATTTTCATTTATCCTGAAAATATTGCAAATATATATGCATGGTGGAAGTAAAAAAATGCAGGGTGGAAGTAAAAAAAAAATGTAGATTCTAAACAAATACCAGTATATTTAAGGCTGAAGAAAGGCCATAATTTCACAAGCCTGAAATCACTTTCCCAGGATCGGTCCTTCTTCTGTTATAGAACTAATGCAGTTATAATTCTAAGAAGATTGTGCTGCTCATTTTGAACATCCATGTTTATATGTCATTATCTTGCTGAAATATGTTTTACCCAGTAGTAGATTGTAAAGCATCCCCATGCACACCTCCACAGGTTATCCAACTATGAAATCAAAGTGCTTCCTGTTTTGATTCTGCACTTTTGTTAATTGTAGCATACAGTTCAGATAGTAGTTCAGTTACAGTTGTAGCTGAAGGATGGGAAGATTTGGGATTGGAGGCACTTTTCCTAGTCCTTGGGGAGGACTGGAGAGAGGACAAGGATGCTAAGGCCCTGAATCCACAGTCTGCATGCTATGATTGAGACTTGACTTCAGACAAAGGGAAGGTATGGTAGGTTAGTAGTCAAGCTAATCCAGGACTACAGGGGCAGTCTGTTCTGTTCTGGACATGTCGTACTCCTTCAGCTTTATGACTCAGAGTTATTTCTTAGCCCAGTGCCACTTATGGAGGGTTAGATGGCTGTTAGATGTGCCTTTTCCTGGTGAAGGAAGGCCTGGCCACAGCAATCTATGCCTTCATCAGTCTAATTTAGATGATTACATGCTCAGCATGGGGCTGCCCCCAAAAGTGTCTGGAAACTCGAGCGAGCACAAAATGGAACGAGCACATTATGTTCTGGTCCTTTAAATATGTAAGCTGACCTACCCCTATTCCAAGTTAATATGTTAAGTAGATCCTTTAGTTCAAATGAGACTCCTCAAGCATTTAGAACACTTTTAAAGTGTTTTAGATGTTACAGATTCAAACAGGTTTCAGACCTTCTGTGTTGGTAGCAGTTTTACAAAATATGTCACAGAGACACACTTTCTGCTGGTGCATTACTCTTACTACATGGCCTTATTTTCAGGTTTGCTGCCCATCTACTTTGGAAGTCTGGGATTTTGTTACATCTTGGTATTCAGTTGTATGCTCTTTCTTCAATGGAGGAAACAAATCCACCAGAAGCAGCGTGCAAAAGCCTGGGTCAAACAGATGAAGTCAGAATTGTATTTCCAACGTGCTTTGGCTCATAAAGCTGACAAGGAAACCCAGCGTGAAACTAACACAGAAGTTCACAGTCCTGAATTCAAGAGCATCACAAAGCCACAAGGCAGCTTCTTGTCTAATGAGATTATTAATGAAAGCCAGGGTGATCCCACTCCTCCATTTCCTGATCCAGATCCGTACAAGCCAGTGTTTCAGGAAATACCTTGTGCCTGTGCTCTCGCACACTTGCCACCCCTGCTCGAGCATTCAGCCTCTTACCCTTGCTCTAGTATTCCAGCTGAAAGCACACCATTCCCCTCTCCTCTGAAATCTGCCATGTTGAAAAATGAATCACACAGCTTTGGTAGAAGCATCTCTGCTTAGCAGTAAATTTAATGGACAGGGTCGTCTAAAGTGATTTTTACTGCATTCTAATTAAAGACTAGTTTCACAATGCTTTCGAACTTTGTTGGGTTTTCTTTTTCTTATTGGGAGGACAGAGGTTCTACAAGAAATATAACTATCATTAGAATTTAAGAATTAGATTATATAATGCCAAATTGAAACACACACACATTGTCTAAGAGACTTATAAAATATCTGTCCTACAATTTCATTCCAATTGGCCAAAAGTCCAAGATATCACAGAATCATAGTTTTTAGACCTTACTGAATGCTCTAAGTATAAGCTTTTATTTTAGTTCGAATTCCAGATGCAAAGTAAAGTGCCATCTAGTGGCTGAAGCAAGAAAGCAGCATTTAGTGAAAGAGAACTTGTTAGGCTCCTCTCAAGAATCTACAACACCTCTAGCTCCAGTACTGCTCTTACCTATCTATACCAATCTAATCCTTGCTACCACCTTGCAAGAATACCATGGGAAAATAGTATTTATGTACTATTTGATCCCTGGCTTATTACAGCAGACATTTAGGCTTCTCTAATTACTTTTTTATTCTAAGATGGAGACACAGAAAACAAAATATAGCAAGAAAGAAAAGGCCATTGGCCTAAATGCCTAATTTAGATATAAGTCCTATTTTAGAATGACTAAGGGTGTACAAACTAGAGTTTGACTAATCCCTGACCCTATTTTTTTCAGAAATGTGCTTTTTAATTTGAAGTAAACAATATTAAAACATCACCAAAAACCAAATCAAATGAAAAACAAATTCCATCAGACATTAGCCCAACATATCTACAGAATTGGACTCAACAAGTACTTATCAATGGCACCCTCTCAAACAATGGAGAGGTAACAAGCAGGTCAGCCCTGGGCCCAGTGCTCTTCAATATTTTTATTTATGGTTTGGAATAATTGCAGGGAATGCTTATTGCACCTGCAGATGACACACAATATCTCTCCTGGAAGACAGAAACGAAATTCAAAGCGATCTTGATAGGCTGGAGAATTGGGCTGAAAACAACAGAATGAAACTTAGTAGGGACAAGTGCCAAGTTCTGTACCTAGGAAAAAGAAGCCAAATACATAGTTACAAGATGGAGGATACCTGTCTCAACAATATTGCAAGTGAGAAAGATCTTGGAACAAGCTGAATATAGGTCAATATTATTTGACCTATATTTGACCTTCAATATTATTTGAAGGCAAATGTTATTTTGGGCTACCTTACTACTAACATAGGCAAATATTTAAAGCAAAAACAATATTCTGATTCAAACCTCTGTGATCAATGTTAAAGAACCTCTATTCTCAATATATTTTTGAGATAGTGGAATGTTATCTATATTGTGTTCATAGTACCCAAAACATATATGCTTACTTTGAACTAAATTCTACCAGTTTCAGTAACACATAGTAGAGAGGGAAAGAGAATTTCTGCACAATAGTTCAAAGGCTATCAGTACTGGGATTTTTATAAGTTGTTCCTTAACAGAGCTCCTCTTCCCTAATTTCCCCACTTCCAGGCCTGACTGCAAGCATGAGATGGTCTTTGAAGTGTAGAATTAATATGCAGGAAAAAGTTTGTTGTGTGTTTTTACACAAGATTAACAGCACAAAAGCAATTCCCATTGACTTCCAGGTAAATGGCTTTAGGATTTTAGCCTATATGCGCAAAGGTAAGGGAGCACTTCAATCCACCCCACAGGCCACCTGTCTTCAAATTAATATGCTACGGAGGAAACAATCCTGCTTCTCCTGGACAGACTATATTGTGACTCGAGAGGACTATGCAGTAAGTCAGATTCCAAACTCTGAGCTTGAAGGCTTTGTTCCAGCCTTGGAGCAGGCAACTCCAATCACCCTTGCAGGTGAAGCGGAAAGAACTGCACCAGGTGCTCTCTGGGGTCAGGAACGCAAGCTCTGAGAAGGGTTAGAGTTTGGCCTGCATCAGGAAGTGGAATGGACTGGGGTGTCTAGTATATGGATAACCTGAAGCCAAACCAGCCTTCTTTCCTCCCCTCTGAGACACTGTTGCAGGAGAACCAAAAGCAAGGGTGTAGGAAAAATGGAGTAGGAAAGGTGCATTGGTGAAGATTGCCTCTGCTACTGTTCCCACTCTGCACTGGATGGACAGGAGTGTCCCTCTCATCCCAATGGGATTGCAGCCCTAACAAAGCAATATGCAAAGTACCCACATCACCAATGGAATAGTTACCAAAAAGGGCCATGAAGCCTAATTTTACAGTGAAAGCACAGTAAAATAGTAGTAAGTTCTAGTAGATACACCAGTAGTGGACAGGAAATATGCCATGCACTATACACCAGTGCATTGATGACAGGAACTAAGAACTGGGTGGGCTCAACTACTACTGACTGAGAATTTGGCTTGTATTGAACTAGATGGAATTGCTACTGATGTTGTTTTGACAATTGTCTAGGTTAAGGAAGTAGCTTTTATAACTCCTTCAACAAAATGGTGCCTGCCAGAAAGATAAGACACTTACCAGAAAGGAGTGTGCATATTTATCCATGGAGGTATGTACTACAAATAATTTACTTGGGTGATGATGTCTTATCACAGACAATTTTAGACCAATTTGGTTTTTAACAAAAGCTGTTCTAGCAAGTCAATTCACCATGTGTTGGTTTGCCCAATTATGTGGATCATAGGATTATTACAAGAAAAAAAAAATCTAAAATTTGTGAACTGGACGAGTTAGAAGATTTGAGCAGTAAAGGGATATGTATTTAGCTTAGTCATAACAAATTCTAATTATAAAAGTCCACTCTAAAATAAAATGTCAGTTACACCCAGAACAAAGTATTTTATTTAAATTTAACATTCACAATGCATGATAAGTGCAAAACTCAGAAGCTAAAGCCAGCTTTAGTTCACTTCATACAAGCTTTTGTACATTTCTAAAAGAGGTCCAATTTGTTTTTATTTTAAAAAAGGTTTTTATTTCAGAGGTGATATATGGAAGGTCAGTTTAACACAAAGAAAAATTTATACAACATACAACTAAAGAACTTTTAGTGCAGTAGTTTTAAATACAAATTATGTGGGATAAGTATAAACTGTTCAAAACCAAGATTCACAGCCTGGAATTTTGTCATAAAACCTGACTAGCTATTCCTAGTTCAGTGTCACTGTGGAATAGTTTCTCCTCAAAGTAGTCGAAACTTTTGCTTTGAGAATGTAAATGCAGAATAGCTTAACTTTTTCTAAATATTGTTACAGAACAAAGTTCTTTCAGTCACTGCAACACAAAGGTCAATATCACCAAATACAGTCAACATCCCAGCCTAAAGGAAATAGGTTTAAATACCTCAAAACCCTACTAATGTGCCCTTTGACATTTTACGGTTCTTCAGACAGAAAAATAAGCTCTACCTATTAATTCAGTACAGCCTTATTTTTTAATAATTATCTAAACAAAAATGGCTGAATTCAAGACTCGTGCTTCCTAAATAGACAGCATTTTCACTTGTTCCAGAGACCAGCAATGCTATATGTAAAATTCAGTATAATGTGCTCTCTCTTCATACATTCTGAATACATTTCCATTCTAACCAGGGGCCTTCATAGCTGTGGAAGATAGGAACTGCAGTCCAATACAATTATTTTACAGGTGAAATTCACCTGCATTTGATCTCAGCACTAAAAGGACTATTCCTGTTTAGTTGGCATCTATGCAGGACCCCCCCCTCCCCAAAGAAAAGAATAGCTATAGCTGTATGGTGTTACTTAACCAGGCACCTTCTAGATATTTTGAACTTCTATTAGCCCTGGGTATCATGGACAGTGGTCAAGAATGAAGGAATGTAAAGACTAAAACATCTGCAGAACACCAAGTTGAGGAAGGCTGGCTTCTCTTCATCACAAATTGCCGCATCACTGATCTCAAACCTGAGTGCTGTCAGGATTGCAGTGCAAAATATATTACAAGTACTCTTTGTCACTTTTTCAAAAGACAACACTGTGAGCAATTTGCCCTGAAAATACAGTCCTTGGAGTGCACAGCTCAGGAGAGCTTAATATGTTACAGACAGTCCCCATTTGCTACAGCCACTCGTCTATTCCTGGTAAAATCAATACATTCTGTCCTAAGTACTCACTGGTATGTAAAAGCTAGCACGTATATCCAATAGGAACAATATGATGATGGAAATCACATCATTGCTGGAACTGGGCCTTAGCACAATTTGTTACAAGGTGGATTACGTCAAGGCTAGAGCTGGAGGCTGGAAGACCACATGAAGTGCTATATTCTCTGAGGCTCCTAATGGTATTTGTCCTAAATGATTGTACCATTTCAGGTTTTTACATGGGAAACACTTGTTTGAGAGGCCTCCCGTGTGAAACACAAGCCCCACTTGCTACCTCTCTTTGGTCCAAGTTATGTTACTAGAGTGGTGTGGGGCCTTCTTTTCTATGGGCCAGTTTCTCAGTATACCACTGACATTAGCAGGTTTGAGGCACTGCTGAATAATTAGTTCTTTCACATGTGTTTTGTCATATAGCCTCGAAGAACTATACCATTCAGCCAGCCTGGAAGTTTCTTTACAGTTCTCTTGCTTTTGCGGCATCTTATGGACTGGACTAAGGCAAACCCTCTCCATAGGCAGCATGCTTTGATGTGAAATAGTTATAAAATAAGAACTGGGATGGTAAAGTGTTAGGTCTGACTACAGAAGCTAGATTTCTAAACTAGTTGTGAGTCATCAGTTTTTAATGAGATTCCATTATGGAAGAAATGGATCTCAAATGTGCTCTGAGCCATTTAATAGTGGGGTATGAAATGAGCTTCCTTCCATATTAACTAATATTACAAGCCAACCTTCCAAAAATATATTTAATTTTTGGCATACATTCATATTACACAGGTACAAATATTGTATTGTCTTTATTGCTTTATTTGGTTAACAGTTTGATAAAGTGATTGAAGGTCATTTGAAAGAGCACTGTTTTCAGTCCTCTTGAAAATATTGTTTTTCAACTCCATTTGGTAAAAATACACAGATAAAGAAACTAGTTTTAAAAAAAGACAGCCCAGGAAATTTGTTTTTTCAAGACACTGCTTCACTATCATCTTAAAGGAGGCCATATACTCCAGAGTGATACTCTACAGTAATTTCAGACCCCTTAGTACCCTAGTTTCTGTCAGTGACAGTTGTCCCATTACACCCATACTCAAATGACTAAAAGTCTACGTTTTATTATGGTCAATGTTATTTTTGCTGAGAACTTATCAAAATAGACCTCTGAGAAGATTAACACCTTTGCAAAAAAACAAAAACAAGCTAACAAACTGCTCCAGAAAGCTTTGGATATCTTTTCAAATTCAGATTCACAATAGTTTTTTTGTATTAGAAAATCTTGCCAGGATCTGTTCTATAATCAGTTCCTAGAGAACAAGCAGTTTTATTTCCCATTATTTCAAGTCATGCTCTTCATCTCTTCCTGCCCGTTTTTCCCCCCAGGGACAGAACAAAAGAGTAGCTTAAAATATCAAGAATTCCAAATGAACCACAGGAAAAGGGCTGTATAAAATAAAGACAGTTAACTGTGGGGTGCCATATCCTTAGTGTAGGAAAGCACAGTCCAGCTGAATGGAGATTAACCATTTTCCCCATGCTGTTTCTAATAAAAATCTTGCCCCTCTTTCTTCCCAACTACAATGTGGTCACCTATACCTAGGACTGGGGCCCACACAGTCACTATTAAACAATCATATGCATGGGTAATGGTTTTTCAAATAGTTTTAACTCAGAATTTTATCACAGAGGAGTATGTTAATACTCCCTCCTCCCATACCCACAGTCCCAATCTGGATCAGGACTGTTCTTTTAAAAATAAATAATAAATGGGCCCATTACTCCATCTTGATACTGACACAAAGAAAGACTAGGGAGATATCAATTTTATTGGCCATTTTTAATACTAATAAGGTGGGAAAGAGTAACTAAATTGTCAGCCAAAATAAGAGAAAAACGCTGCAGTGAATATTTAGCTCCCTGTAACTGCTCTTCTCCCTAAAACTGTAACACCAAATACTAAACAGGATCAGTATTAAATTTAAAAGGAGAATAAAATAGTCATTCCTACATTCTGGTATTCAGAGTATTAAAACAAATTCAAATTTATTTTATCTCAACTTTTAAGCATGGAAGTCCTCTTTGGAGTCTGGCATGAGTATTCAGGTCTTGAGTATCAAAAATCTATCCATGGATTCCCAGGCAATTCTAGGAAAAGTATATCCTGAAAGAAATGCAGAAATGTACATTTTCTTAGATTTCCAACCTTCACATGATGCAGCTTGGGATATTTATTGCCTTCACTGCCAAGTCCAAAACATGTGCAATTTATCCTGTTTTAGAAATTTGAAATCAGGAGAGTCCCATCCCATAAGGAAAGATTTTAATGTTTTTTTTTATTCTAAAGTGCAGCTAATTTAAGGCAAATTTGAAATATAAAATACACGTTTGTCAATATATATATATATACACACATATTCTAATCTGAAGACAAGAGCTTCCCTTATAAGGGAAATAAAAACTTTGAGCTAAAATTCTTAGCGTAGTTTAAGGTGCAATTACCCTATGGATCCCACAGTTATTCAATTCAGTGGCTGGATATTATCCTCTGGCCCTGATCCAGAGAAAATTCAATGCACCTATGTCAATGCCAACAGGTTACTTATATCTAATGTTTCACACTGGTGTCAAAGGGTTTTGACATAACTAATGATCTCTGGATTAGAACAGCAGAGATGAACATTTTTTAGAAGTCAGGCTGGAGTGAAAATTGATCTCCAGGTGTTTGGGAGTTCATTTCTCAGAACTCCATGCCAAGATGGCTAAGGCCAGGAATGTTGGGAGTTGAAGTCCTAAACATTTGGAGATTCACTTTCTGCTCATACCTGTCTTAAATTACAGATAACAATACAAAAGCTTTTCAATATTTCCCAAAGAACACAAAATGGAAAAGGTGTCAACAGGTACACTAAGTTAGCTGCAAAGATTAGTACATCATTGGGAAAAGTGCAAGATGTAGCTTACTTCTCAGTTTTTTTTCTTTTGTAATAGCTACTGTAGTCCTTTAATACTGTTTTTATAAGCAAACATCCTATACACCCAAAGCTTCCCTCAGTTCTGGCAGGGAATACATTTCATCCCCATCCGCATCAAACTCCTTAATGCTCTGTGAATCCTGCACTGTAGACCCAACCAGCTTTTTCAGGTCTTCATATGATAGCTTGCCATCAGTACCATGGCTGGTAGTCCTGAATAAATCCTGAAGGTCTGCAAAAAGGAAGAACAGCTTTAAAAAGTAAGTACTGCTCAAACTTTCTCCCTGATTTTTAGCGTATCATCTACAAAACAGTGTATTATATCTCACATACATCAGAACACAGAACAAACAGGGGCAAGTTCAGGCAGTATAATTTCTATTTAATAAACTACTGGCATCAGACTCACATAACTTATTCCACATATACCAGCAGTGACACTTCTACTGCGATTTATTTAAACCCCAGCTGCCTAGCATATCCAAACTATGGAACTGTAGTATGCTTTATCTTGCTAACCAGAAGCAGATCCTTTTTCATATTCAGGACAGTAAACAGAGATGAAACGTATTCCAATTCAAATGTAGTAGGAAACTGATTTTAACAAACTATCGTATATATGCCAGCTTCATATACAGGAAAAGTGGTGGTGAGTGGGGCAGAATACCAATTCTCAGCTGAAGTGGCCTGAAGATGATAATTTGTGGACACTGAATGAACAAAAGCAGCAGTACAATATTGGGGAACTTTATTGCTACATAAAAATCGATCCCTACAGATGGAACTAGTGACCACTGATTATTTGTTTCAAAGTATGCACAGTAAACGTATTTTACTGTAATATTTTCTATTACTTTTTAAAAGATCCATCCATGACCAGACTCATAGTTCTCCTTCTTCTGAACATTTAGGAGATACGTGACAGGAGACAACACTTGCTGTGGCATAAAGCTAGTTTAAAAAATGTAAATGGATTGCTGCAAATCAGGACTGGGACATGACACTTAACTCTTTCTGCCTGTCTTGTATTTCAGATGATAATTCCATTCCCTTTGAAAGCTACCATTTGGCAGGGGATACAATTCCTCCCAAGACACAGGATAGCTTTGTGTGGGAGGGCAGGGCTGTCTGGATCATGAGGTGGAAAGCCAGGATTAAACTAGTTCTCAACATTCCCAATCCTGTTAGGTCCACCTCCACCCAGCAGTTGTTATTTACTCCGTTTCTGAAGATCTTCCTAACAAGCATCCTGTTCATTTAAGTGTCAATTCCCACTCTTCTTTTGTCCTTCTGAACACCACCTGCTGAATTCTAAATTTTGAAAAACCATCCCTTTGCAGAATAGCTCTGTTAGTTCCTGGATGGCTGATTTGTTATATTGGTTAAACGAGGAAAGCAATATTTATTCATCTTTTCCAAAACCAAATACAGTTACCTTCTATGTCTGATATTCCTGGTAAGGACAAGCTTCTTGGCTTTCTATTCCCCTCAAAACTGCTGCCAACAGATCTTGAAGAAAGTCTTGGAAGTTTTGTAGGTTTTGATGTGGTACTCCAAAGGTTTTCTAATGTCAAGTAATTGTACAGTAGTTATAGCATTCTGTAATGTTAACACTAAAAGGCTGAAAAAAGGTATACCTCAAAGAGGACTTTTAGAAGGTATGCAGCAGAACATAGTATTCTCAATTCAGTAACAAGCCAGTAGGTGAATGTTCATTCTAATACTTTATATACACTCTTTTTCTTTCCTATTTTTACCTTTCCTCTTGTGAATACAGAAAAATAAAGGCCTCATGCAAAAGGCAACACTGAGACATTTGTGTATTTTTGAACAGCTCTGACATTCAAATAAGCCAATCTTCCCAACTTCATACCCTTCAGATGTTTGAACTACACTTCCCAGGATACTTGACCATTGACCATGATGAGCCTGAAATTCAAAAACATCCAAGAAGCACCAAACTGGGGAAAGCTGGCCTATTTAAATACTCAAAGCTATTCAAATGAAAATTAACAAATGGCCCAATGTTAGGACAAAAACAATTTGGAACTAATTTTTACATTTCCAAATCACTTTGGTTAAGACGTTCTCTCTATTAATAAAGTCTTATCCTACCTAAGTATGCATTTATGTTTATAGTCTTTCTTCTTTTTATATTATAAAAGGCTTAGTTCTGAAGTTCTAATCTAATGGCCAACTACTGAACTTTTAGCATGTTTGCCCAAAGCAGAGAAATTACTATAAACAATTTAGTGTTGCAAAGCACTGCATGAACAGTATAAGTGGAATGTGGGGGAGGTGACCTACTGCCCACAGTAACTGCAAAGCAAGTGATAGCACAATTATACAGAATACTCACCTTTCTTCAGTGCATCAGAGTGGTCACTTTCTGGCTTGCTTGACAGAGCATTAATCAGCTGCAGCTTCTCTCTTAGTTTAGATACCTGAGACTCTCCATTTTCTATTTTCTGTACAACACCAACAGGAAAAAATGTCACCCAAAAAACCCCCTCTGCTTCTTTCACTCTAAGCCATAGTTATAAGCCTTAAGACATTATGCTGCAAAATTCAGGTCTTATAGAATCATCACACCTTATTCCAAACGGGGATTTCATAGCAGGCTGAGGGTGCAAGTGGCAAAATCGAGTATGCCTCACATTTTCGTTTACCCATCATTAGAAGATGCTTCAGGTACCTACACAGAGGTTTGCTTCTGCTTTAGCACCGAACAGACTGCATGACAGTTTTTATGTGCAGTACTCTGGGCATTACAAATGTCTCTAAGCTAAATTTATCAGCACATAAAATAAAAAATAGTAATTGCATATTAATGTTTGTTTAGTTTAGCTTGAAGACATTTTCCTCCACTGCTCAAGAGTGGAGTACAATTGCCATGTTCACAGATTCTGTGAAATTCTAATGTTTACCTAGTTTCTCCAAACCAGTGATTTCCTATTCATGTAAAAACTAGGAGATGGAAAGTGCAGTCCTGCCTTCAATGTATGTAAGACTCCAAACTTGTGTGGTTTGTGTGTGTCCTATGTCTCACATCAGATATTTTATCCAGCTGTTTTTGGCTGTGTAAATCAGTCTTCCCCAACCTTGTGCCTTCCAGGCACATTTGGACTACAACACCCAGAATTCCCAATCAATAGCCCTTGCGGTCCAAATGCCTCTAAAGGCCATCAGGCTGGGGAAGGCTGGCCTAGATAAAATGCAACGGAGTGGGAGGGAAGAAGGCAAGGACTCAAGTAAGAATTGGTGTACGTCCTTGGCTCCAGCATCTTGCTTGTCACAACCCTTCTCCTTGCCAAGGCCCCATTGTGGCAGGGGATGGCAGCTGTCCACTTCTTTCCAGGCAAGCTGCTTAGGAGAGTAGGGCAAGATCTCAGCCATCCACGTTTCAACTGAGACCACAGGACCTTGGAAGTGGGATTTCAAATAATCCTATGGCTTCCCAGATGATGTCAGGAGGCCATAGGAGTGCATATTTAGTGGATTATGCTTCTGTTTAAATCTCAATATTATCTGAGGGCACTCTAGAAAGCAAAGGACCCTCAATTTATTAGTTGGAGTACTCTGACATCACAAAGAAAAATATTTTCCTCAGGTATGGAAAGCTGACATGTTTTAGAAAATCTTTCAACATTTTGTTTTGTAAATATCTTTTCAGGGTCATTTTTTCACAAAAATACAGGTATAATAGATTGTATGAAATAATATCAAAGCTAAAGTCATATTTTAAATGTCTCAAAAATATGTTCTATAGGATGTTTAATGCCAAAAACATTAATAAAAAGTCATAGCACAAAGACACACAGTATCACAGAAATGTTAAATTCAGCTACAATTCAACATTTATTTCCTATGTTTTCCATATAAATCATCAATTTTGACTTGTCTCTCTATTAATATTTCTGAGAGACTCAAATAACACCAGAAATGCAAAAAATATTTTAACTTCCCAACGAGAAGCCAATGCATCATTCTCTAAGTGTGCCCACCATTACCCAAGATGAAGGGTTCAGGCTTGAACAGTTAAAATCAGGCTTGATTCCCAAATGACTTAGGTCACCACTGGAATAGCTGTAGCACCCACTAAGAAAAGGCTATAAGGCATTTTTTCCCTCACATTGAGCAGTGACATTGCACTCCTATGGAAAAATGTGAATTAGTGCACTTAGGGAAAAATGTGCAAGTACAAAGCTTATCCAGGAGCCTGGCATGGGGTAACTTTTTTTTTTTTTTTTAAGGACAGGGATCTGGCAGCATGGGTGCAGTGTGTGCATGCACATGTGAAACGTGTGATACTGCCCTTTGATAAATTTATAATTCATCTGTTTACTTACACTGATACAATTTTAATGAATAGTTGGTCAAGTAAGGTGCATGCATTACTAAGAAATTCCCTCCCCCAGTTACATCCCCCTGAGTTATTAACTGCCACATTGTGCAAAGGATAGTTAATAGAGAGAGTCTTTTGGCTAATGGGGCAGGATATAAATCCAATCCAATCCAATAAATTATAAAATAGATAGATAGATAGGTGGGTGGGTGGGTGGATAGATAGATGGGTGGATAGATAGATGGATAGATGCAAACAGTGTCTTGGCCTCTTTACACAGTCACTGTAAAGTAAGCATCCACTGATTGCAGACCTTCTCAAGAAATGGCAGATAGTATCTACTACCATTTATCTATTACCCTTAAAGATGACAGAAAATTTTTCTACAACAAATATGAGTAAACCAAAAAAGCCATTTCATTTGCCTATTGAATAAATTTACAACCACACACATACTTGAACATATTCAAATAAGAAGAGAAAATTGGTAAAAAAAATAAGGTATACTCCAACTCCAGTCAGATTGTACTTAGTAGGAACAATTCAAGATGTTACTGCTTATATTGAGAATATACAGACTCTATCTTAAAGACACCCTTAACAGATCTTTATTATTGGCTAAGGAATTTCTCAGGCAAGGCCCTCTCTGGAAAACATTTTAAAAATGAAAGAGCCATTATTTGAAAAGGGATCATCACTTCTATGAAGAGTATGACGACTCCAATGTTACAGAATGCTTCAATGACTTTCTTAAGAACCCACTAACTCTAGTTTCCCAATAATTACCTTCAAATGTTGTACCTTTTCAGTAGTATTTTCATTCCTTGGTTCATTTTCTACATTGGCCGAGGTAGTTAGATTATTCACCTGAAAGACACAAAACAGAGTGCAGTGCATGTTTGTAGCTTCTAAAATACTACTAGCATTTTCAAAGACGACACACATAAATGCCTGTGAGGATGTCCACAAAGACATCAGCTATGTGAACATGCACCACTACCTGGTTTTATACAGTATTTGAAACTCTATACATGGAGAATAAAGTTAAAGAGCACTGAAAATTCTCTGCGTATTGCACAGCACTGGAAGGTAAAACACATTAGATGCTTAAGCAGCAAGTTTAAAAATGAGCAAATAGAGTGGAGATCTTAAATAAGAGTACCATATTGTCATCTTAAAAGGGCATACAAACAAATAACCGGCTGGTAGAATTGTACAGTAGCAACACACATCAGTAATTCCAGAAAATTGCAGAGATCTAATAAACTTTCAGTGTGTTTTATTTTACTATAATCTGCTAAGAGGGCCCTTGGGCCAATATAGCAGAATATAAGTTTAATAAACAAACAAACTGATTAACTTGATTCCCATAGTTTAACCGTACCAATAAAACAAGAGATTTAACTAGCCTGTCCACTAGATATGCTGACTTTGTTTCAGTCTCCAATGTGCCACAAGTAACTAAGTGAACAACACTTTAAATTTACAAATGCTTCTTTGCCCATTGTCTTCCTGAAGCAGTATGTTCTCACAGCTATCCACACAAGCGGGGAAAATAAGCTTATTACCCATGTAAGAGGACCATGAACTACTCTGCAATGTGAGAAAAGTAGGTGAAAACATGAACCACTGATAACGTAGCAGCTTTGCTGAAGATAAGGCAGTCAAGTTCTGGTAAGTGCCTAGATGGGATACTTCCTGGGAACTGCAAAAGCATAAGTGTAATTTCCACAGGAAAAAAAATGAGAAACAGAATTCAAATATACATAGTTTATGTAGTAGGTATGCAGGCATCCAAATGGCTCAAATTATGAATCAACCATAATTTTATAATTTTCTCAGTTTCATGATCTGAGATTTCCAGTATACTAGGAAAGGGACGTATGAGGAAACTGATGAGGAATGAAAATCTGATTTCCCATCATGTGTTTAGAGTCAAAGTTGCCAGTATGATGGTGAGCTACAGGCAGCTCCTTGTATTTAATTCCAATATGCTCCAAAATCTTGCTGAAAATGTCAGGAAAACAATACCCAGCATAGACAAGAGGACATGGTAGGCTGAAGCTGACTTAGCACTTGCATCAGGCTTCCTGTTAATTGGATAAGGTTCTTCTAGGTGCAGGATTTCAATGCAGTGAGAGAGCAAAGAGACTGTTCAAAATTCTTCAGCAAATACTGATTGATTCAGGAAGGAACCTCCTTGCAACACCTGTAGTATTATGGCCGTCACAGAATCTTGTAACTTATTAATAAAGAGGCAAATCTCATGTGCAACTGCTTTATTGTCTCAGTTATCATACCCCCGCCCCCCGCCACAAACTATACTAGTCCATGAAATATAAAGTGGAGTTCACAGTGAAATAGGAAACGTATAAAATATATCCACTATCAAATCTAATTGGTGCAGAGTTCATTAACTGAATGCAATAGTTGTGACAGAATAGCTAAAGGTAACAAAGGAACTGCATCTTTCATTTTATCTGTTATTGTATAGAATTTCATATACCACTACAGGTGCAGCTTGCAGCATCTTTCTGAAACTGATTTCTCCTTATGTCAGTTCACCCACTATGTATAAAGTACCAGAATGTTTTGCAGAAATTCATTTCTCACAATTGCTGGACACTTACCGCACTGAGTGTCAGATTCTCCCTCTTTTCCAGTTTATTCATCACCATCATATGATTTTCTAATAAAGAAACTCTCCAGCTTAGATTGCTGACTGTGGAATCGATACTGAAAATCTTTAAATCATTCAGTTTCTGGTATAACATTAGGGTAGAGTTTACCTCCTCTACAGAGGTGTGTATAAACTGGTTATCCTGTTTAAAAAGAAAACAACTTAATTATACTACTTGGCTATGGAGGCAATAAAACAGTCTACTAAACTAAGGCTGTGCAGTGCAGACACACAGTGCAACTCTGTAAATTAATTAAATAGATACGTATTAGCCGAAGTTTTTCTTTTTTCAAAAGTAAGTCCCTTTGGGTTCAACCAGCCATATTCCCAAATGTCACAGGCCTGCAACCTGAGTAATATTCAGAGTTGCCACACAACTTAGAAAGTTAGATTTCTTTGATACTTGAAATTAGGGCTCACTAATTACATTAACCAAATCTGCACATTTTAATAGTCTATGGTTAACCACCTATGGGTTCAAACTCTGTGTTGTTCATCCATCAACAAACTGGAGTTTTGGGATCAGATTATCACAAGAAAAAAAATGAGACACAAAAAAGCATCCCCCGGTTGTTTATTGCAGTGAGAGGGAATGGGCACCAGGAACCAATATGTATGTTCCCACTCATCTTTATACTTTTATGGACTGAAAATTATTACTACTTGTATGCTACTCTGGACAAATATTTTCTGAAGTGTGGTTCATACATTTAACAATCAATGCATAGCACATATCTATATACCATAAAGAAGTCTGACAAGGGTATGTGACAATTTACTACCCTCAAAAAAAGTATTACTCAACCAGGCAGACTGACTGGAGAACCATTTCAAGAAATGTTGTGTATCTGGCTGGTTTAACATTAAACTGTTATTTCAAATTGCATGTTTTCATTATTTAAACTTCAGAGTAATGTCTGACTCTCGTTCTCTTGTTCCTATACCTAGTTTGGTGCAACAGATCGAACACAAAAGTAATATTTAAAATAAACTGAAGCTAAATTAAGAAGCAAGTTGTACTACTAAAAATCTTCTGCATGTATGCTTTAACAAGTAACATTAACTAAAGAACACAAGGCTGTAACGCCTTTTTAGTTTAGATATTTTTTATAGAAATATACTGAATCACTCTTTTGTAGAGCCTCTAACAAGAAAACAAGAAGCACCTGTTTACAGCTGTCTGTCAGATTCTTCTCACTGATTTGGAGAACAGGAGTAGAGGAAATGGAAGGCAGCTGTTTTCCTTTAACATCTATGTGTTCATTCTGACAATAGAAGTTAACATTAACTTTTCAAATCAGTTAGGAATTAAGCATTTAGAAAGTACTAAAACTAGGAAGATTACTTAGTCAAACAGAATTCTAAATAAACAAGCGCTCTGATTCTTTATGTCTGATTATTTAAATGTATCAAATATATTAAAGCACAAGAATGGAACAGTAGCCAAACAAAAAGAATAGTGGAAGAGCTGCCAAAAGCACTGGGAATGTGTGTGATACTCCTTCAGTATAAAATTATCTGAGATGTTTTTGTTATACTGAAGGCCTAATTTCCTTGTTTGATTTTGTTGCTAGCATTAAAATTTGTACACATATAAGGTACATGTCTAAGGTAACAAATGTGAGATAGGCTCAGAAAAGTTCAAATGCCTGGGTATAGAAATGTCTAAGAATAGGATATTAGGATTAACATTTTTCTATCCTTTGTATTATTGATGGTGATACAGTTGGTAACAGTGTCTAGGAATCTGATGTGCCTTTTCAGACTTGGCAAAGGTTCACAAAGAGTTTCCAGTTAAAAATAAACTAGAAAACATCAATTTAAAAATAATTCTCAATTGAAAAGGAATGAAAATCATGCAATTTTTATTTCCATATTGTACAGCAAATGAGCAATTCATACTACCACACAAGGTACTACTCTCAAATCTGTACACATGCTTACCATCTCACTTTGGAGCGTTTCAATAGTTTTCTTATGTTCTTCAATTGTGGTCTGCATAGTCTCAACATCATGATGAACACTGGTTACAGTGCTACCTATAGTAGCAACACTCTGGAAAAATAAACAGAAGCAATCTTGCAGTATTGTCTGTACACTGCCTAATTTCAAATGTGTGAGTCAACTGTGTAAACAGCTATGTTTAATCTGGTATATCAAAACCTGAAATAGTACAGTGATAACTTAAATTTATTGTGGCAAGACTTCAGCAGGCACTAGTTCAAGAGATCACCTGTTACAGTGTAATACACTGATATTAGATGGATGAATATGAAGATAGATCTGCAGAATTCAAGATCCACAAATCACTCAGAACTACTTCAAGAGCTGTTTTTGCTATGTGGATTTCACTTTGCTATAAGCAAGGGGAGCACATATGCTACACAATCAATCATATAACAAACCTATACATCGCTCAGCCATACAAATGGGTTGGGAAAAGACAGCTAATTACATCTTCATTTTACATGAAATTGTGCAGTGGGATTCATACTGAGGTAAACAGATTTTCTATGTGGAAGCAACATCCCAGTGGCCAGAGAAGTAGCAGTAGAATTTCCAAGAAATTCAGGCTATTGGCTGGAGGGGTTTATAACAATTTTACCCAAAGAAAAGTTACTGAGAAAGGAAAATATACTGAGATTGTTTTTACAGAAATGTCACTTATATTATTTTAGGAAACCTAGCTAGAATGGTTAAATTACTGGAAACAGCGGTCCAAGAGACTGGTGTACTGCAGCTGGAATGAGAAACAGCAGACCAGCATAGTGCCAGCTTCCACTGGACTACATGTAACCTCCATGTAAAGAGAAGGGAAATTATATCAAATATATTAAACATGTCTGCTTTTCCTACAAAGTTTGGAGAATGTAAACTATGAATGAGCTCAGCACTACTGATACTGGGAGCCAGTGTGGTGTAGTGGTTAAGAGCATGGGACTGGGACTCAGACGACCTGGGTTCTAGTCCCCGCTTGGCCATGGAGCCAACCGGGTGACTTTGGGCCAGTCACAGACTCTCTGCCCAACCTACCTCACAGGGTTGTTGTTGTGGGGATAAGATGGAGGAGAATGATGTCAGCTGCCTTGAGCCCTTTGTAGGAAAAAGGCAGGATATAAATCGAAAAATAAATAAATAAAAATATTGCTACTAATCTATGTACTTCACAAAAGTGATTTATGCCAGTGATGGAAGGTAATGTTTTTCAAGGTCTACTCCCATTAAATGGAAAACAGTGATGAGTATCCTATTGAGCCTATACATCCATGGGAGCAAATGCTAGTGCAAAGGTGCTTTTGCTGTTCTAAGAAATAAGTGGTGACAACTGTTGCTGGATCTGGACAGATCAGTACAGATCATAGAATAGAGCTCATCTGATCTGCCACAAAGTACTTATTTCCAGGATTATTTTTAGATGCGCAAAAACTCTATAGTACAAGGGTTATACCCACAAGCAATGGCATAGCTATATATTTCTCAATATTTTTAATACAACTGAAGAATATGGCAAAAAGGGTTTAAATAACCATTATAATTTTGCAGTACTAAGTATAGTACATACTTTTTGAAGCTCTTCTACTGTAACAGGAAGATTAATCAAATCAGAAGCAGACTTAATGTTTGCTTTGAGATGGTTTACTGCCAGCATCAACAAAGATATCTGAAAAGAAACACACACAGGAAATAAATGTGTTAACAAACACATGTTATTTCATTCTACAAGTCTCTGCAGATATTTAAGATAACTAATTTAAAGATAAATGAGACAGCACTGTAAAGTGAGCATACTCTAGAAGAGGAATCAATTGAGCACCCTAACTTTTCCAAGTATGTTTCTTCATCTTACCAACAGAGTCTACTGCTGCACTTGTAGTCATCATACCAACTGTCTGCTACAGATAAAAGCTGCCAACTCTTTTTAATTAAGGATCTTTAACAACTTTATTTCAGGGGAAATGGAGGAAACAAGGGCACATTTTCAAATGATGCCAATGCACTAAACTGGCAAAAATTCAAGAACACATATCTCCCTATCACGCTGCCTTCAGTGACATTGGACAGTAAACATCAAAATGTTGCTGAGCCAAATGTGTTCAGTGCAGAACTGTTTCCTTTTGACCTTAGGAAGAACTGCAAGCACCACTGAAAAACATGACTACAACAAATGCTCAAGAGCCAAATGATGTGCTACCTCCAAGACAAGTCAGCACACTTACCTAAACTACAATTTGTTAGGGAAGCAAGACATGGAAGAATTCTTCAGCACTGAAGAGGATTTCCTCTTATAGAAGCTGAAAATAGAGTAGACTCTGATTTGCATGCCACCATGCAGGGTAAAAGATTAGCAGCCTTCCTTCAATTTGACAAAAGAGTAATTTCGGTGGCCCATCTGCAGGTGGCTACTGAATAATGTGAGACAGATGGGCTACTAAAGAGAAGGCTTCTCAGCTGTTGCATCCTGGTTATAGAACACCCTTCCTAGAGGGCAGAGAGCTTTGCCTAATGCCCATCTTGGGGTCTTTTCTGAATCGGGTGAAGAACTTTTCATTTTGCTACACCTTTTAGTCCTTCAGTTTCAAAAATGCTTTCAGCTCATTTTTAGACATTTGTACTGATTCTAACTTTTGCTTTGGTTTTATGTTGTTGCATTTATAGTTTTAAAATTTTGCAAGCTACTCAGAAAGCTTTAGCTACTTAAGAATTATAGAAATGTAAGAAATAAAAGAAATAAAAATGGCTTTTGCTTCCAATTGATACCAAATCCAGGTAAAATTTCTATCACTCTCTTAACAATATAAGTTGCACACAAGTGTCAAACTTACATCAGTTTGCTCCTATATACGTTAACAGAAACATATGTTCTACTGGGTTCAATGCTAGGTAATTGAGTACTGAATATCAAACTTATTTCTTTAAACCTGGTCACTGTGCTACAGATGAATTTGAATTTGCCTATGTTTAAGCCACTTGACTTCTGTTTTGATGTTGTTTACTTCATCCCCAATTTTATGAAAGATAAATTTGCTGTAAACCATCCTGAGACTTTTAAGTATGGGACGGTATAGAAAACTTATAAATAAATATTCAATAACAACTTCCTTCTACCACAGAGGTAGGTAACACACACCCTGCCTGCACCTCCCTAAGCTTAAACACACTCCCTAATGTTGCTGAATATACCTCTCTGATGGTTGCTAAACAACTGGTATTCTACTGCTGAAATAGCAGAACAGTAACAAACTGTAACACTAGCAAAAAAGAGCCAAATTTAAAATTATTAAAAGAGCTCTGGTTCATGTGATTTTTTTGTGGATTGTTACTAAAATTCATTAGCAAACTACTAACTGTTTTGATACCATTGCCAAAATTTGGGTGGAGGGCTGAAGTTTGCTCTTAAGCCCCTGAAAGTGCCTGTTCACGCAACCAAAATGTGGCTTGCTTGGTAATTAATTCAAAGATTAATCTGTGGTTATAACAACATGTTTGATATATTATGTTTGAACACATGTTCAAAAGGCCCTTATCTGAAATGTTGTAATAACTAAATATTTACATTTATGCAATTGCTCTTTTAAATGCCAGACTCAGTGAAAACAAAACACTTTAGCCATTTTACAAATTACTTAGCTATCATTTAATAAGATAAAGGGAACACAAATACGATCAATCACATATTGAGGTAACATATGGAATATGATGTTGTTACTTCAGAAAGCAGTACTAGGTCCTTACAACTGATGTCTAATAAAAGTTAAGTAAGAAAATATCTTGGTTTGCTACTCCGAATAGCATTTCCAGTTTTATAGGATGATGAAAGTCAGACATATTCATTTTACAAGTAACTATTTCCAATGAGCTAGTTTATTAACAACGGAAGCCTAGCAAGGCAAACTTCAGAATAAGTCATTTTTCTTTCATTAGTTCCAAGCACAATTCACTTGTATGATACTGAGGAACCACTTTCACCATATTTAGATAGAAAAGATTTGCCTTTATGTAGAATCAGTGAGTAATATAGATTCCACATATTTATGTAAGCACACAGATGGGATGTGGAAATGCTTGCTTTCTCATAAATTATCTTATAGTCTTAAGCCAAAGTAATACAATCACCCAGCACCTGTGGGAAAGTGTCAAGGAGATAGTGCTAAGGCCAAGCCTTGTATTCTTCCTTCACAAAGCCCAATTCTAGGATTAAAACATTAAGAAAAGAAAGACACATAGACTATTTTGTGACATGTGCACTCAGTGAAAGGTGACACATGGACTAAAAGCATGGTTAACTGCAATTTCACAGTACATTCTTTCTAGTACTAGACCTTAAAGTGTCCATTAGTAAAACAGGTTGGGTCTTCTGTTCTTCAGCAGAATACACGCTATTAATATGAATAGCAATTGGCTGAGCTAAAACATTACAATACAGATCTAAATTGGTTTCCGTTACACCATTCCTTGAACAGAGGCCCACTTGCTTTACCTGTTTACTTATTTCAGTGATGTTTACCCATATTTTGTTTAACCCCATATCTCCATTCTCAATCTTTTCCAGTTCCTTTTGTTTATTAAGCAGATCTTCAGTCAGTCTGGGAATTTCTTGGAATGAGATTTTTTGATTAGACTCCACTAAAACACAAAAATAGAAGTAACAGTTATCCAGCAATGCTAAGATCTGGAAACACATGCAGAATCTTTCACACACAGATGCATCTACACTATTTTCAAAATCTAGTTATGCACAAGTTTCATCGACTTTAACCAATCTTCCACACTGTGCCTTTCGGACCTAGAGTAGACTCAGAAAAGTTGCACACAACATGAGTATGCAAGACAATTTAAAATATTTTGCAGATAGGAATTCAGAACAAGCTACACCAAACATGCAACTTATTCCTTTCAAGGAAATAAGAGACACAATCTTATGACAGTGTATGTAATCACGGTGTATGTAATCTGGATTCCATTACTGAACAGAGTAGAGGGTACTAAGGTCAATCTTAGTAGTCTGCATGGAACATAACATTTGCTCTATCACTGTTATGCCTTTACAATTCAACTATGGCATATGCCGCAGTTAAAAAAACAAGGAAACAAAGTTAGTTGAGCACATATGCTACGTGTATGCAATTTTACTTCATAACTACACAGGAAGCAGCATAGTAAAATGGTTCCACCAGATACCGCAGAAAGGAAACATACAGCCAATAGTGATTCAAAGGAACTACAAATGACCTAAAATCCAGCTTTTAATTAACTATATCACTTTCAAAGATGTCTAATAATCAAGTCATTTAGATTTCTGGTGAGAATGGGTGATACTTCACAAAATTCAAATTTTGATAAATAAAACTGCTACTATCACTGTGTGAAGAGTACATGCAGCATGACGAGCACTTTCCTTCAACTTTCAAATTAGTTTTAGAGAGGTCTTTTATTTTTCTTCATTCTACACTAGAGAATAGCAGTACCATTTAGCCTAAGTTCTCTTAACTCAATGGTTTACTCTAAAATAACTAACTCTATATTTAACAGCTGCTTAGGATCTACAAATTTAATTTAATTTTAAAATATCTTTATAGTATATCATGCAACAAAACTAAATACTGAATGCCCTGGTTCCCTTTTGCCAATGGAAGGAACCTTCCATTCTTAGATGGAAAATCTGAATCCAAACCAATATTTGCATTTACATCATCATCGATAACATAATACAGACAAGTTGCCAGAAATGTGTTTTGCAGTTGATCACCAAGAAAAACTTGGCTATGTCTATCTTGACCTGAAGTTAAATTGGAATTTAGCTTCTATCTTTCATAGCCAACACAGCCATATAAGCTTTGAAGAAGGCCTACTCATCCTAATGATCCCTCCAACCCAACTCTACTTTACGACATTAAGCTTCCTTGGAATTAAGGTGCCACCCTATGGTCCCTGGAATGCATCCTAGATACCACAGGATTTTTCAGATTCCCTCTCCTGAAGCCCATCACCCCCTCAAATCCCTCCCTGTGGTGGCTGCTTTCTGTTTCTGAGGACCCAAAAATAGAGATCAGAAAGCTGCTGCTGATAGGCCGGGAGACAAAGGCTAAAATATGAAAAATCCTATAACCTTTCCAGCCCCAGCACTTCCCTAATAGCACACTGTCTCTAGACCAGCTCTCAGGTCTGCTAAGAACAAGAAAAGAAAAAGAAAAAAAAACCAGGAGTACAGAGAAGCAACCATCACCCCTGTCAGTTATTATGCAAATGCGTCAATTAAAATAAGTCAAGTAGAATGGATCTTTGACTGTTCATCAAATGAACAAAGCATATAAAGAATTAAAATATGTACCAGATTATATACACATGAACTTGCTAAACCCTAGCCTCCACAACTGGAAATGTTCAAGATATTTTAGCAATGGAGTTTTTTAAAATAGTCCTTAGAAAACCTCAAACTTTCACTAATGCCCACAGAACTCATATTGCCATTCACATATTCCATTAGTTTCCTCCTTTTAAAAGTGATGCTTTTCTTACTATTCTATATTTTATTTGTTTACTTAAGAGAAAAACTGAAACATTAGAGAAGTAACAGTTACCATATTTCATCTACAGGTTACCATTTCTTATCATGGTTTCTTGATTACTAGGATTATGAATACAGAAAAACTGTATTTCTTACTTACAAAAGATATATAGATATTCTTAAGAGCTCCAGATATTAAGAGCACATGAACTTGTACTGCAACTCATGCTAGCTAAAGACAATTTTCAGTATTTATAATTTTCTTGTTTAAATAAATATAAAGGACAGTAACTTATATTGCCACTGTGTCACTTCTCACTGTCTTAGCAGTAGAATGTTCTCCTGGTGCAACAAGAACTAGCACCTCCTAAAATATACATGGAAACTAGCAGGAATGATTATTTCCAGAACAAAGCACAGATCTGCTTTCTGGATCTGGTCAGGAAATCTCCTTTCTATGAGTATTGCTACTTTCCAAGTTTTTCAGGAACTGCTAGCTCCTGTTGCACTAGCAGTCAATTCCACTAGCTCAGGGGGTAGAATAGAATACTGCCCCCAAAATACAAATATTTGAGATCAGTACTTACTGGTTTGAAACCTTTCCTTTAGCCCATCCAGATCTTCCTTGAGGGCAACCTGCATCCACACCAAGCCAACACATGCTACCACACAAGCAGCCAGAATGACAAACGCACATAATGGGTAGCAGAGCTTGCAGCATCGCAGGTAATCACCCCTAAATTAAAAAATAAAAATGAAATGATTTTCTTTTTGCCAGCCTACAGCCTAAGTATCACTATAAATTGTCACTTAAATGCCAAATGCAAAGTTTTATGCTTTTGCTGTAATGTATGTATTTGCAAGATTAATCTCTGAAATACTTCACAGTTATACGTACTGTTGAACAGCAAGACAGGTTCAATATAAAATCACTATATTATTAAGAACATAAGAGAAGTCATGATGGATCAGACCAAAAGTTCACCTAGTCTAGGATTCTGATTACACAGAGGCCAACCAGCTGCCCATGGGAAACCCACAAGCAGGACATGAGTACAACAACAACCTTTTCACTATGTTTTCCAGCAAATGGAATACACAGCCATAATACCTTTGATACTAGAAATAACATATAGGAAGCAGAACTAGTAGCCATTGATATTCTTGTCCTCCATGAAGTTGGCAGTTTTTCATATGTTATCTTGCAAAAATGGTTTCCATAGTTTAACTATGTGCTGTGTGTTGTATATGTCCTGAATCTCCCATGGGTAATTGTTCTGAACCTTCCTGGGTTCTAGTATTTAACCATCAGTATTAAGATAAATTCCTTAAACAGTTTGGGTAATGACAAAAATGCAATAATGAAATAATGAAAACCTCAAGTAGTTAAAAGTAATACATTTATTCCTCTAAAAACACCACGATAATCTTATTAGATTATTAAACTATCATGATCATGAAATGAAGCTGATCCATGTTGGTGACATCCTACTTTTTAGTCTTCCAAGAAAACATATTTTTGAGAAAAAGAAATTAAAACTTATTGCACTCTTTCCTAAAATGTCAGGGGCGGGTAGCAATCCTATGGTCCCTAAACATTGTCCAAAGGGCACAGAATTTTCCAGATTTCCCCTTCCAAAGTTAGAGACAGTATTCTTTGGAAGAAGCAAGAGATCTGAGCCCACACTTTCCTCATAGTCAGTGTGAAAAGAACTGTGTTGACTCCTCTTAATAGCTGCAAAAACAACCCTGGAGAGGGGGAAGAGGAGGTATTTTGGTGGGCAAAGTGGGTAAGGCAGAAAACTGAAAATAACAGGATTTGAGCTATCCTGTAGCCTCTTCAGCCCCTTACTAGTGTAAAATCTATCTTATTTCAGGTTTTTTATTGTGCAGCAATATATGTATGCTCCATAAAAATGCAAGCCCTCTAATTTTGATATGCAAAAGTTGAGAGGAAATATTCAAATAGTATTTCTGCATTAAGTCATTCTTTTCAAAGGATTTCAAATTTAAGATAACCAATTCTCTGCTGTTTATGATTTTGCTCTTTTTAAACTTGCCAAGTTATTTTCATCTCTCATGTAGTTAGGTAATAATTTTTTAGCATTTGCAATAATAAAACTATGATTAAATGATGTGCATAACAAGGAACATCCATTCAATCCAAGGAAGATTTAACAGTCAATTCCTGAATTCATCTCTATGCCTTTGATTAAAAGAGGACAGTTATTCACTAGGAGATCTTAGCTGCTAGCACACATATCCTTGATCCAAATAAAGCATCTTCTTATAATATTGTCTGCCCAGACCAATATGGAATAACTTGGCATAGCCTGTAGCCCATTTTCAATATTACCAAATATTCAATGTTTCAAGGATGGCTTCAAGAAAACAAGTATGTTATTTTTAAATTCACTGCTGCGAAACAGTGACCTATGAACACCAATAGTACGTGTGCGATAGTACGTGGCATGATATAATTAGTGCTATGGCAGCAACATTGTATTTAGTTAACTCTCATGATTTATCTGCTAATTATATGTTACAATACAGTTTCACCTTGCTAACATGAACAATTCAAAACAGGATTATGTGCCTCAAACTACTCATAGTTGACATATTGCCACACTTAGTAAAATGAAAGTTCTAATATCTCTTTTCCCACATCCTTTTTTAGAAAAACAAGCCAGTGGATGAAAAAAATTATTCCACAAATCATAATGCTTGCAAAGCTGAATTTTGAAATCAGTCACAACTGGTATTTCTTGCTTCTTGAAGTTACTGGGCCCAGAATTTAGGGAGTTAGGTTTTATAACAAACTGCTTTTGAGACAAATCAGTGGCAATTTAACATGTCATTAAACATAAAGTCTACAAAGTGCTCAAGAAGGCAATTAACCAGACATTTCATTTATAATTGGAATAAGATGTGTGCATGGTTATGGACACCTGCACAAAAGGTTGTATTCCAGAGATTAACTTTAGCATTAGTCCCTGCCAACTGTCAACACTCATGTGGAAAGAATGACACTAATACCTACACCCGCATATTTAAGCACAATGCAAGGGAGGACAAGTTACACCAGAAACACACCCAACTTACTCATCTGTCAAAAAAGACTGACCTTCCTGAACAATAACACTTCAGCACCGTGGCTTCATTTCTCAAGCAGTGTCAACTCAGCTCTAGCCCATCCACATACTAACAGTTCTGCTTTCCCTACCTATCTCAATTTTATATATCCGCTTTCCCCACACATCCCACCTTCCTCAGAACATCTGCTCCATTAAGCCTCTTCCAGACCCATACTCTGATATAACTCCTTGAGACTCAAACTTATTCCTTCATGTTTTCATACCATCCAACCTTCGTCAAATTTCACTCAAAGCAACGTCCAGCCCAACTCCTAAACCACTGCATTAGGCCAACAGCGCGCGCCCCTATCGGCCTCTGTTCCGCAGGTTCTGCTGTTCTTCGCCTACCCACTTCCGCTGGACCCCACGGGCCGCGCTCAGAGCTCCTTCCCCCCCAGTACCCCATCGTAAACCCTCTATTTCCCCGTCTTCCCAGGGCCTCACTTAGAAAAGCGGGAGCGGGCGCTCGGTAGCCCGAAACCGTCTCCGTAATCCGGATCCGAAGAACTGCTGCTGCTGCTCTCGGCAGACTCGGTGCGGAGGAGCCGGTGTCCCGAGGCGGAGCCTTTTCTCGGGTACCTCTTTTTGCGCCCGCTGCCGCCGCTCCCACTTCCCCGGTCGCCGTTCCCGCTGCCCAGTCCGATGAGTGCGTTGAGCTCCTTGCGCTTCTTCATCCTTTTCTGCTGGGCCGGGGCAAGGCTCGGGGCAGCCGAGCTGCGCAACCCGGGAGGGGCTCCAATCTCCGGCCCCCGGCTCGCCAGCTTCAGTGTCTCGAGGCTTCGCCGTCCACGCTGGAATCTCAGCGGAACTCTCGGCACGGAACTCTCAGACGCCGTTGGGGCTGCTTCCTACCAGCCGCCGCTCCCGCCATGGCAGCCGAGGGCACGTCGCTTCCTCCAGCCGCTCAGTCTCCGCCGGCTAACAAGGGCCGCCGGCATTGGCTAGTGCCTCCTAGGAAGGTGATTGGACAGCGTCTCTCCTGCGCTTCCGCTACCGCCTGAGTATAGGCTGCTTCTATTGGATGCTTGAACGCTCCTCTTGCCTCGGTAGAGACCTGCGCTTTCCTACTGGCCATTCAGAGGCTCGAGTCGGGACGCTGTGTGGATCCTGCCTACAGAAAGGAAAGGGTTAAAGCGTCGGTGTCCCGTTCTGGAGTGCTCAGTTAATTTGACACAAGCATTGGCTACGTTGGAGGGAGACAGTCCCTGGTGAAGAGCAAGCCAGCTAGCCGCTATTGACTGAGAGGCGTTGCGGCTTAAGAGTGCCGCCGCTCAGGTCAATCAAACAGCTAAAAAAATACAACACTTTGTATTTGAAAACGAGCCCAACTGGACCACGAGATTTGCGATAGTGTAACTCTGAGCTCTTTCTGTCCCTGTGTATAGAGCCAAGCCTGGAAAGGCTGTGTAGAAGCCAAGGCTAAGTTAAGATGAACCTTTGTTCTCACGCTCACAGGCGGTTTTCCCATATGCGGGACGAAAGCCTCAGGTACGCAACCTTATTCGTTGCTAATCCGTTGCCTAGAGCCCTTACCTTAGGGCCAAACAGAACTATATTTTTAATTGCAGGTAGTTACTGCTACTGTGGTTTACGGAAGATTTCCGTGGCTCAGAATGTTGACATAAATACGATTGCCCTTTTGCATGGTCCTCCTTACATAAGTATTTATATAACCCTTCAAGTGTTCCCAGGGTGGTTTCTGAAATCACAATGCGATCTAAGGCAAGAAGCCTTAGTTCTGAAGGCACATGAGGCAGCCACTTTGCTGACTTTTAAGCAGATCTAAGTGCTTGGAGGGAATACTACCCGGGAATCTCTTATAGCTGCATTAAGTTCTGTGCCAGAAGAAAGATGGGCTATAAACGTAAAATCTAATTATTAATCAGATGCAGTATAATGCTAATAATAAACCATTTAGAATTAACATCTTGAAGTTATTGTCTGAGGTGCCTCTTAAGGAGATAAAAAGGGTGCAAGTTGTGGAAGGGCCTTTTTAGCTGTGGCACCCAAATTGTGGAATCAGCTCTCCAGAGAGGTGCAAAACCCTTTTTATTTACCCAACCTTTTAACAGTTAAATTATTTTCATTCTTTTAAAATCAATTTTTACTCTGTGTTTATGCTGTATTTATTGTTCCACTGCTATATCTTAGGACTACCTTGATTACATTTGTTGTTGTCCTATTGCTTTTTTTAAAAATTAGGTATATCTGATTTTATATTTTAAAGTTACTGATCATGTTATTTGTATTTTATTTTATGTTGGTTATTTGCTCTTTGTGAACCACCCAGAAAGCTGATTTGGGCATACAGGTGGTATATAAAATTTAAATAAATAAATAAGCACTATTTATTTATTTAAATAAGCACTATCAGAAAAGGTTCAACGAGAGAGAGAGAGAGACCGAGACCCTCACAGCATGCAAGAAATATAAGAGATTTTTTTTCCTTTACTTGGTTCTCAAACTGTTAACCCATCACTTACAAGTTGCTGATAATGAAGTTTGTATTTTTAAAGCAAATGCAATTCAAGAGATACATATGTTCAAATCACTACTATATTATGGACTCAGGTGGGTAGGGCTGAACACACCCTCCAGCTGATCTAGCAGTGGTGCAGCTGAAAAATTTAGAAATGGGACTTAATGATTGAACAGGTCCACCTTAGGCAGCCATGTGCTGTGATGTACACAACTAACATTTATCTTCCTTCCCCACTGCCATTCAGTGCTTCTCAACTGCTTTTGTTTGTTTGTTTGTTTCTACACATATTTTTAACCCTATAACTGCTGAGACCTTCCTAGGTGGCTTACAATGCAATGTATGTTCCTGATTTGTTAGAGCAAAAACTGAAACAATTGCTTGTGCACCATGCCTTCAGAACAAAAACTCAAATTATGTGCAGTTTCACATATTATAGAAACAAAATGGACTTTGTTTTTGCCACCGTAATATATACATTTCCCTTCTCCATTTTATTTCAATAGTCAGGATGGTGCTACAATTGATCTTAAAATGTGCAACTGCATATAATTTTTGTTTTAACTTTTTCTGGTTTTAAGTGTTGCACATCATGTCTACAATTCATCCAAATGGGTATTGTTATATGTCTTTAATAAAGTAACACGTATATGTAGTGTAGTATAAATAGACCCTGGTGTTCAAAGGCTGCTTCTTGACTTTCTATTACTTTTCCTTTCAAATGTAGATCTACAATGCACAGTTGCATCCATACCAAATATTCTGTACATAACCTGTGTCAGTCCTGTTCTGTAGCAAAACCCGGTTCTTATCCAGGTGTAGTGTTGCACAACTAAGCAACAAGCAGCAGACCAGTGTGCATGCTTACCTGTGCCAACATAAAGACTGCATTCAGCCAATTCAGTGGGGTCCTGACAGCCTCACAATTAATGCACATATACACTGAAATGCACATCTGTGCACTTAAGATGTAGTTGGCCTCCTGAGTGGGGATTTGACCAGGGTGAATGACACAATCACTCCTGAGTGTCCTTGCCTGCTGAATGGAACCAAGCGAGCCCTTTTTAGTTTTGTTTAGAGAGTGGGTGGTAATTTTAACAATGTTTAAACTCTTATTTATATTTTATACTGTGTTTTGTTATATTTCTTAACTGTTGCACACCACCCAGACAGCCTAAGCTATGGGGTGGTATGGAAATGAAATAAATACATATCATTGTAGCAAGGGATAATATGTGTTAAATGTCAAGATAATACAAAGAACATCTGTAATCCTGTACACATGCTTGCTTGGCCACCCACCCCTTGAAAACAAATGATTTTGAAAATAGGAAAGTATGTTGTGGCAAGCAGTGTTGGTTGGCCCTCGGGGCCCCCAGCATGACTGTACTGGCCCAGGTGCTGGAGCCAGGCCTGCCAGTTGGTGGGTAGTCATTTCAGTGGCCCAAAATGAGTATTGTCATATGCTACTCTGGTCTTGAAGATCCAAGCCAAGAAGCACTACTGGCTAAGAGTGCTCTCAACAATTTGTTGCTTTTAATTTATTTGACACTTAATGCTGCGTCTCAAAAAAGTAAGAGTTATTATCTTTCAGACTTGATTAACATAATTTGTACTGAGAGTAGAAATTCAAAATGTCTGTAGATGGGCATGCTCAGTAGCAAACTTGAATAACAAGGGCATATACTGACTTGTAGTATCTCAATATTCCAAAATGTGTTTTCACAAGGTAGCCAGATATGAAAACAAAAATGCAATGAAGATTTTTTTTTTTTTTTTTTTTTTTTGGATGCTCTGGTGGGTGAAGTTCACAACTGTTGCTAAGAAGTGTTATTTCCTTGCAACTTCATTATGCTGAGCTGGCTAGATGGCCCAGGAGCCCCTTCTGACTCGCTCTGTTTCTGTGTTTCTTAGGGGCAATTTTCCCTTTACAGTCCTCGCCTATGAACTGCATAGAGATTCTCCATTTGATTTGCAAGGGCCGTGCATTAAAACATGATATACATCTGACATTCACCTAAGAGAGCTGCCCTTGGTGTAGTGGTATTTTCAGCAGCTTCCACTTGGGGCCGTCATGAAAGAATCGGTGATCGCTATGTAAAACAGGCGCACTCAGAGTTGCAGAAAACAATCTAGCAGCTGAAATTTCCACTCGGTAAAAGGATCAACGCTGATATTGCTTGCTGCTGTTGGCCCAGCTTCAATCACGAACCTGTGGGGCGGGAGACAGAAGACGCCGGGGAGCCTGCTCTACTCGGCCCGCGGCTGTTCGAGAATCGCTGCGGCCTTTTGATGTTAGTCACTCGATGATGGATCATCCTTCACTCATGAGGAGGACTAATGTATAGGTATCGTATGTTCCACCCCCGCCAATAATAATAATAGTAATAATAATTGTGCACGTCGGTACTGCAAGGGCGGAGTCTGCAGCCGGCCTCGGAAGTTCCGCGCGGTACGAGGAAGAAGAGCCTTTAAAACGCAACGGGGGGCGCCTTCTTTGCTGGCCGTCGCCCCTCCCGGCAAAGCCGTTGCAAGCCCGCCCGCCCCTCCATCGCGGGCTTTCTGAGGACCTTTGCCTACCCTTTGGCCCTGAGAGGGAGCGCTCCATAGCGGGTGTCGAGCTCTGGCGCCTCCTTTCCCCAGGAGATGCATATGCACGGGCAACCGCTGCTGTGAAGACAAAGACAGGCGCCCGCTCTGCACCTTGCTCTGTCATGGATCTCTCGCGGCTTTGGCACCTGGCGGCTGTGTTTTGCTTGACCTGCCTGCTGCTCAAAGCCATCCAGCTGCTTCGCAGAAGGCAGGAGCTACTGAAAGTTCTGAGCGCTTTCCCTGGCCCCGCTGGACATTGGCTGTACGGTCATATATTTGAGGTAGGTGGCAAGCGAAAAAGTGGAACTTAGCCCTTCGGGATCAAAGTTATTTGACCAGGGTGGATGTGCACCCGCTTAGGTGTTTACGGACTGCTCCTCGTTCCAAAAGTTTCAGGAAGTCGGACTGTCAGAACTGGTTTTGCCCTGAAAAAGGAGCGGGATGCACTTTTGCAATTTCCCCAGAAAGTCAGAGTCTCTAAAGTGCAAAACGCCCACCAGCCTGAGAATGATCAGGATGAACTCACTGTGAAGCCAGTATAAAATCCCAGCACCCCGTTTCACATTTATAGATCACCTTTGCTTTCCCTTGACTGCTTGTCTTTGGAGACCTGTTAAGATAAAGGAAAGTTTACTTGGAGCCTCTTTGGGTTGCTAGCTTTGATGGCTTCACTGTAATGTTGGATATCCGTGCCCACATTGCACAACCAATTTCTACAGGTAGTCAAGGACAGCTTAAGAAAGAAATAATAGTTCTGTACATGTTGTGCTTGCAAAAATGATACTCAGATGTTTGCCAACCAGGCACTGTTCTTCCATGATGTTACTGAGGCACTTTGAGTGGCTGGCAAAATGGGATGAACAAAAGTCAGTTGTCAAGTTGGATTTGATGATCTTCCGGGGAGAATAAGTGTGAAGGAACACAAAGCTGGGATGAGTTGATACTGGCTCATGATCTTGTTAGGAGAGGGAAACAAATCTTTGGAATATACACTGAAGGACAGAGGGAGAGGGGCAAGCAACATATGGTGTACCTGGTTGTTGACCCTGGTTTTTGCAGAACTAACAGTCAGCCCACTGTGGCTTAGCTTGATGTGCAAACATACACAGTATGTAATATGCACACTATTGTAGCTTTGCAAATCATTGATAAAAGAAGGTGGAGTAAATCTAATGCCATCCTTCCCTAGCCTAGTGGCTTCCAAATGTTTGAGAGGGAATTAGGTTGTCCTGGACTTCAGCTCTCATTGTCCGAAACATTTGTTATGTTGCCTGTGGATCAAATAGTCTGGAGAGAGCCAATTTGAGGAAGCTTGCCCTGTGCCAATTAAAGAGTATAAATCATTAGCAGTAACCAAATGAGAAATGTTAAATTCAAGAGAACCCCTAGAAATAAAGCAGCTAGCATCCAGAAATATAAGCAATATCAAGCACTGAAGTATTTTATTATTGTCTCTCACTGAAAACCTCAATGTTGTGTATATATACTGAATTAATGCATATCCAAATTTTTAGTGTACCAGTCATACCCAGCACCATTTGGTCATGCTTCTGCTGGACTTTTGTCTGCACTCCTGTGATAGCTGCTCAGAAGCAATCTCCAAGGACACTTTTATATCTTGCCAGTGCTGGCTAGACAGGGGCTGTCAGAAAGTTGATGATAATAAGATAATACACCAATAGATCACTGGATGATCTATTGATGAAGACAAAAAACAAAAAAGATAGGTGGCGGTGTAAGTGCTGTAAACACCTTCTATTTACTGTCACAAATGCCCAAACCCTTTTTTACATCCTATGCAGTGCCTTACAGAAGTATTCCCCCTCCCCTCTGACTTTTCCATATTTGTTGAGTTGCTGCCTGGATCTGCAAAGATTTAACTGACGTTATTACTGCTTGATGTACATAAAATACTTGACACTGTGGGAGTACAAAATATTAATACTGTGGTACAAAATTAAGTACATTTAAGTTGCCACTTGTTTTATGATAATAAGCTTCTTGTTCTTAAATCACTCCAGTGTTATTTTGGCTGTGTGTTTCGGGTCATTGTCCTGCTGGTAGGTGAACCTCTGTCCCAGCCCTAGATTCCTTACAGACTGAAACAGGTTTTCCTCTAGAATTATCCTATATTGGCTCCATCTACCTTGCCCTCAATCTTGACCAGTTTTCCTGTCCCTGTAGAGAAAAAGTTTGATTTTGGTCTCATCAGATCAGAGAACCTTTCCATACATGTTTACTTTGTCTCCCATTTGGCTTTTTCAAACTTCAAATCAGTTTTGATATGGATTTGTTTTAGCAATGGCTTTCTTTTCCCCCACTCCCATAAAACACAGCTTTGTGGAGCATCTGAATGACAGTTGTCCCATGTATTTTCCCCCCATCTCAGCTGCAGATCTCTCCAACTTCTTTGGAGTTACCACTGGCCTCTTAAGCACTTCTCTTTTAGTGGAAGGTCTTCTCCTCTTTCCTTTAAGCAGATCAGAACAACAGCTATCTAACAAAAAGTATTTTTATATTAAACAGGATCAGCTAGTCTAGCTTTGTGATACAAGAGTATTGCAGAAGGCAATAACAAAAAATGCAAAATTAGAATACAGTGGTACCTTGGCTCATGAACTTAATCTGTTCCAGGACTCTGGTCGTGATCTAAATTGATCATGAGCCAAGTCAAATTTCCCCATAAGGTTAAATGTAAATAATCCAGAAGACCAACAGAATCAGTAAACTAAGTTGTTTCAAAGGACTTTGTGGTTTTCGGGGACATGTAGGCAAATGTTCTGTCAACCTTGTCATACATGAATAGTAGAACAAGTAATGGGTCAGGGTGAACGGGCTGAGGAATGATGTCTGAAATTATTCCAAAAATTTGAGTCCTGTTACATAAATCCTGAAACATACCACATTTATATCCAGGAGCCTGTAGAGTGTTACAACTTCATCAACCTTTATGAGATCAGGAGGATTATGTGTGCTTTAATCTGTGTGGGTTGTAATACCAGCTATGGACCACTTTTACTGTATTCTTTCTGAGTCTGGCAGAAATGGTACATTTTATTTTATTTTATTTTATTTATTAAAACATTTTTATGCTGCCCCATTCACCGAAGCCTCGGGGCGTCTTACAATGTTAAGTTAAAAAAAATAATAATAAAATTAAATTAAAAAATACAAACATTAAGTTAAAAATGCAATACATAGTGAGAAATGTGACCATGCTGCTTTCTAGCTATTGGGAATATCATATCTGCCTCCCAAATAGATTTAAACCCTTGAGGTTATGCTACAAAGAACCATAAAGTACAGTTTATGTACTTTAGTATTCACCTCCCAAAACACCCTGACTGAACACACAGTTCTTCAAAATTGACTAAGATGTAGCAACTTTCCTTCCAGCAAAAATGTGCCTGGAAGAGGACACAATTTGATTTTTTTGTAATCAAGGAAGACAAATCTCCAAGCAATGGTGCAATCCCATTTCTGTAATTGGCTGCCCTTCTACCACTAAATCTCTAATCTGATATATAGCTTTAGTTTCCCACCCACCACTCTATAATACTTGAATGTGTCAATATGCAATCTTTACCATTCCATTTAAATATGAAATACTGAGATCACTTACTAGCTTCTTATTGTTCTCTGGGTTCCCCATTGTCCTTCAGGGTCTCTGCAAGGCACTTAGACTTATGATACTGTTTTGAATACCAGCTTGTGTAAGAGCCACCTGATGCTTTCACACAAAGGAGGTTTAATGCACAGCAATCTAACATTGCAGTCTATTTCCTTGTCAGCAGTAAGAAAGGATTAATTACAGTGGGACTTAGGAATAAGTAGATGTGTATACGATTGTGTCATTACTGGCAATTGTGGGTGCTATAGATGGGCTGAGCTTTGTGGCCTTGTGTAGTCTGTTGTTTTTCCCTCGTGCTTGATCATTCTTCTGGGGCACGGAAAGTTAAGCGGTTCTGGAAAGTAAGTGATCCTACCTTACATGTGGTTCATATCCCTTGCCCAGTTATGCACTCTGTAACATTGGCTTGCTGAAATAACTTTCATAACAGAGCTCTACTGGGGTATCATGTACATGACCAAGGCAATCTGAGTTCAGATCCCTTCTTGAAGAGCACAAGGTGACATTGGGCCAGGCATCATAAACAATCTCTGTCATAAGGTTAGTGCACAGATAACAGAGTTAGAAGGATGAACCCTTCTAACCCTGAGCCCTTAGAGGATGGGAGAGATTAAAGAAAACCTAACAATACATTTGCAGATGCATACAGGATTTCAGCAATGGTTGGATTTGCATGACATGAGAAGCCATGGTGAAATCTTATTGCTGTGGGTCTGTTGTGTGTCTGGACCCAGTTCCAGAATTCCTGCATAGGAGGATTTGTTTTCTGAAGCCACAGAGTAAATCATTGGTCTGTTCTAAGGTTTCTACACTTCACTATGGCTTCTCAGATTCTTCTGACATGGACTACTATTTTAACCATAGTTGGTATGGAAATATCATAGAGTCCCCTAGCAAGAGCAGCTGCGGAAGTGGCCCTTCTAGTCTTCAATCCCTACTGCTCTCAGTCCCTTAAGAACCGATGTATCTACTCACTTTCTTCCACCAATTGACAACATGTCTTTGGCCCTGCTTTTGAGAAAGAGGGACTGAGGCACTGCTGGGATTTCATGTATCCCAGGGAAGTTCCCCTCCCCACTCCTCTAGTCCTGATACCGAACTCATACTTGAGACCTTGGAGCCGCAGCTGGCATGGAAAGTTCTACAAGAGCAGAAGCGGGGTGTACTGCAGTCAGAGCCTCAGTCCAACCTTGGGGCGCATTTCCAAAGTTGAAGCTGGGTGCGCTGATCTATCCTATGGGCGGCATGTAGCAGCTGTGTGCTCAGGCCCTTAAAATGCAGCTGGTTGTGAGTTCTATGCTGTGTGCATGTGTTACAGGTAATGTTAGTTCTGCCTTGCCATAAGTGGTCTTTACTCTGCTGCTTCTTGTGGGCTTATGATTTCATTGGCTCTTACACAGAACTAGCATGACAGCTGTGGCAGATTATATATAAAGCCTATAAATACTAATATTCTATCAGGGCTCTGCATTTATTACAGATGTGAAATGGTGTCCTCCTATCAGCGGTCTGTTTCACTTGGTTGCCACTTGCTCAAGTGAGCTTCATATGCTTTCAGCATATAGGGAATTTTGGTGCAGGGCGCTGCATGCATTGTCCTGAATCACCAGTCATTTGAAATCTGTTGGCTCCTGGCACTGGCACACATTTAGACTAAACATTTCTGTTGTCCACCTCCATTTTTCTTAAGTAATGGTCACCCTCTCCCTTCTGTATTGTTGCAGCTTTCACCTGTTTCCGTGGTTTTTAAGAAGGCAGAAGAGTGGAGCCATTCGTATCCATATGCCTTTCCTATATGGTTTGGGAGTTTCTCTGCATGTGTGACGGTTACACACCCTGAGTATGCAAAAGTACTACTTGCTAGGACAGGTAAGAGACAAAATAGTGTTAATCCACCAGTGTTTTTGCCATCCTAGTGATTTCAGTTCAATTGGAAAAAAATGCCAAGAAGCATTTCCAGTTATTTACAACAGCACAAAGGAAAGCCACAGATTAGCATCACATTTCCATTACATTTCAGGAATATAGCTTGCATGACCTATTGACCTATTTTATGTGAGTATTTCATATTGTAAACAATCCCTGATCTATAGAATAAAACTGATACTGGTGCTCATAAACAATTTGAGAAAAGTGCTATGTGATAACACTGGCTTGATAGAATGGTTTTGGGGCATTGCTTTCTTGGAGCTTTTCTACACGAGTCATTTATTGTAACCTTGTAATTCCCTACTCACAGTTGTTTACAAATTCTTTAGACAATGTTGTGATCCATCAGTTTTTCTTCTTTCTGTAAAAAGCACTTCCAGAAAGGTTTTCAGAGCAGGGAAAATAGGTACTCTTCCTGATGGTGAAAAGAAGTGTTGCTACACAAATATTCACATTATTATGCTATAC